GGTGGGGTGGTAGAACTGCCACCCAGGGGCGTCGGGGGGAAACCCCAGGAAGACGCAGGGAGCAGCGCGAGGGGACAGCTTGTCCGCAGACAAGTCGCGGACAAACGCCCGAGATCCCCAGACCCGGAACGCCGACGCATCGCCAACCTTCCCCGTCCACAGCAGGGCTGGGGAGGTCTCCGGCCTGGAGACCCTGGGGTGGAGGTTGATCTGATGCGCTGCGTACCTGACCGCAAACGGCCACAGAAAATGGGGGGCAGCCGCATGCATCATGGACGTACGGGCGACGTCCATGACCATGCCAATGCGGCGCTCAGCAATCCCATTTTGCTGCGGGGAGTCCGGAAGCGTGAAGGACTGGCGGATGCCTCGCGCACGACAGTAGGCACGCAGAAGGCCAGAGGAGAACTCTCCGCCTCTATCCTAGTGCAGACGCAACACAGGAAAGTCGGAGCCAAAGCTCTGCCTGAGCTGAAGACGAGCTGCGCGGATCCAGTCGATCAGCACCTCAGTGACCTCACCCTTGCTGCGCAAGGGGAAGACTGTGGTGTAACGCGAGTAGTCGTCAACAACGAGCAGGAAGTAGCGCTCCTGACCCTGTCCACGGACGCGGGCTGGGCCCCACACGTCCATGTGAAGCGTCTGCAACGGGGCCTCTGTCGGAGGAAACTGGGAGGAGTGAGGGGCAGCACGCTGGCGCCCCTCGACACAGGGGACACAGGCAGGGCCAGGGCCCTGAGGAAGGGGAGGTAGAGACCGGGGGAGACCAGACACAAGAAGACGGGAGGCCATGCCTCTGAGCCGAAGCAGAGAGGGGTGGCCAAGGCGGTGGTGCCAGAGGAGGGTCTCGTGAGACAGACGACGACACGAACAGGGGGCAGACTCAGGACCAGACCTGGACGCTGCGGCAAACACCTAACCAGACGAAGGGACCCTACCAGACTCAGCACCTGGAGGAGAAGCAGTGGTCAGTGTGTACAGGCTCGACCCTGGCCGACGTGTAAACGTAGCCAGGTGGCGTCCCGTGCGAGCCTCTGTGCAGTGGGTCACGCGCTGACGAGCAGGAGTGAACTGGTGGACACCCGCATCCTGTAGGTCAGCACCACTCACCAGGTTCGTCGAGAACGAGGGGAGGTAGAGACCAGACAGGGTGCCAGAGGGGGCCGCCGGACACGGAAGGACCGTGGAGAAGCGAGACAGGACAGGCCCCCCAGAGGGGTCAGCCAGGGACACCGCAACCGGCCGACTCAGCGGCGTGAGAGTAGTGCGGTCCCGAAAGAAGGAGCGAGACGCTCCAGAGTCAAGGGTGAAGGTGTGAGAGGCCGAGGCCGACACAGTACCTGAGTGGGCAGACTCACTAGTACCTGAGAGCACAGACGCACTGGCACCTAGAGCAGCAGCCTCACTAGCACCTGACGCAGCAGTACCAATGCCCGGGTCGGGCGGGAAACACCGGTAACAGTCATCCTCATCACTACCAGTCACAACATACATAGCAGAAAGAATAGCATCAAAGTCAAGATCGTAAATGGCTACACCAGCCCTAGACAGCTCCCCCCAGCGGGGGATCTCAGCGGCCTCCGGAAACTGCTGACGCCAGGCGTCGGTCAGGCGGCCAAAGCAGCGGCGGGCTGCGTGGGTGCCTCCACACCTCTCCCCCGCACGGTCACCGGTGCGAAGAACGTAGGGGCAGGGACCAAACGCACCACCACGCTGACGCTGCAAGTACCACTCACGGAGCTGCTGAGGGGCGGGGACGGTGCGAGAGCGCTGCTGCTGCTGCTGCTGCTGCTGCTGCTGCTGCTGGCGCTGGCCACCCCCAGAGCTGCTCCGCTGGGACGAGCCACTCCGACCCCCGCCGCCACCGCCACTCCCGCCTCCACCGTCACCCCCGTCTCCACCGCCACCGCCCCCACCGGTACCCTCGCCCCCGCCTCCTCCGCTACCGCCTCCGCCGCCACCTCCGCCTCCACCGCCTCCACCAGTACCTCCACTCCCGCCACCACCTCCACCGCCACCCCCACTCCCTCCGCCACCCCCACCTCCTCCGCCACTGCCCCCTCTAGCTCCACCCGCTCCCTTGCCCCCCTTGCCCTTGCCAGAGCGGCGTCTACCGCTGGGGGCAGACGCCGCACCGACCGACTCAAAACCAGTGAGGTCGGCCGCAGCGGCAGAGGCGACAGAGGGCAGCAGGGGGGAAGGAGAACACCCCTCAAAGATGGGGGTGCGAGGGTCACCCCGAGAGGCCCCTACAGCGACTATGCTCTTCTCAGCCGCTAGCAGGGACTCCTCAAGGAGGTCGACAGTGAGGGTGGTGGGACAGACAGAGAGAAACTGGTCCCTAACGACACGAAGGGACTCAGGGAGACGGGTGACGAGAAAGTAGAGAGTGATGTACATGGGAGGAGGGTTTGCGGCGCGGAACTCAGCAGGAAGGGCAGCGCGGTAGCGAGCGTCACTAGCGCGGAGGTGGGTGACGAGGTCAGCGACAGTGGGAAAGGCAGCGAGGTCAGGGAAGAGAAACGGTAGCATGAGGCGGCTCAGCGTAGCGGAGGAAGGGGAGGAGTAGCGTGCAACTACAGCGTCGTACAAGGCCTGAGCAGTCTTGCACTGACTAAAGTGGGCACGCTCGGAGGAAGGGAGGTGGCGACGCACAGCAAGACGTGCAGCAGCATCGCGTGTGGCCCACTTGGAGCGAACAGCAGGGTCAGCATCAGCAGGAGGGGCAGGGACAGCTCCAGAGACAAAGTCAAAGAGAGAAACCTCATCGATCGCATCGCACAGTAAGTACAGCTGCAGGTCCTCAATCCAGACTGGAAAGTCAATGGCGCGACCCTCAGCGTCAAAAGACAGGACACTGGGGGTGGCCATTGCAGCAGCTGATTGTCTCACCGGGCACGAAGAGTCGGGTAGCACAGCGGCGCAGCAACTCGGCAGAACAGCAGCTGCGCACGCCTCGGAGCAGCAGCAGCCCCGCAGGAGCAGGAGCTCGGCTCCTCAGGTTGCCCGGGCGGTTCGGGCGGCTCGGGTTGCTGGGGCGGCGCGGGCGGCTCGGGCGGCTCGGGCGGCTCGGGTTGCTGGGGCGGCGCGGGCGGCTCGGGCGGCTCGGGCGGCTCGGGTTGCTGGGGCGGCGCGGGCGGCTCGGGCGGCTCGGGCGGCTCGGGCGGTTCTGCTGCACGGGCGGTTGGGGCGGCTCGGCTGTACGGGCGGCTCGTGCGGCGCGGGCGTCGCGACGGGCGGCTCGCTGGCGGCTCGCTGGCGGCTGCACAGGCGGCTCAGGGACGGCGGCGCGGGCGGCTCAGGGACGGCGGCCTGGGCGGTCGTGGGCGGCGTTCGGGCAGCTCACGGGCGGCTGCGACGGGCGGCTCGCGGGCGTCGGGCGCTAGGGCGCTGGGGCGACGACGGGCGGCGCTCAGGCGTCAGGGCGGGCGGCCGTCAGGGTGCAAGGGCGGGCGGCGCTCGGGCGCTAGGGCGAGCGGCGCACGGGCGCTAGGGCGGGCGGCCGTCAGGGCGCTAGGGCGAGCGGCGCACGGGCGCTAGGGCGGGCGGCCGTCAGGGCGCTAGGGCGGGCGGCGCTCGGGCGCTAGGGCGGGCGGCGCTCGGGCGCTAGGGCGGGCGGCCGACAGGGCGCTAGGGCGGGCGGCCGTCAGGGCGCTAGGGCGAGCGGCGCACGGGCGCTAGGGCGGGCGGCCGTCAGGGCGCTAGGGCGGGCGGCGCTCGGGCGCTAGGGCGGGCGGCGCTCGGGCGCTAGGGCGGGCGGCCGTTCGGGCGCTAGAGCGGGCGGCCGTCAGGGCACTAGGGCGGGCGGCTGTCAGGGCGCAAGGGCGGCGGCGCTCGGGCGCTAGGGCGGGCGGCCGTCAGAGCACTAGGGCAGATCGAAAAAAAAGAAGTACTAGGGCCCGGAGCGCGCTCCGGGCAGAAAAAAAAAGTTAAGAGGTAGCGGTGGTGGGCCCTACGAACAGTTCCCACAGGGGAACCTGCTCGATACCATGAGAAGAAGTGAACGAGAATGAAATGACTATGAACGAAGTGAGTACAAATAGGAAACCCTGATTGGGTTGTACCCCTTATGGGATACCCCACTATAGCCTACAGAAACAAGTAAGCTATATGTTCTGACAACTGCCTCGTCACCGCCCGCCATCCATGACTCGCCCTGCATCGGAGCCGATCATCGAACCCGAAAAAAAATTGATCCATCGGATTCGACACCCCACGGGAATCAGGAGGATTAAATTCCTTGTTCGCTGGAAGGGTCGCACACCAACTGAAGATGGTTGGGTGCCCTTGGCCAACATCGAAAACCACCCTGCCCTGCAAGTGTACTTGAGGAGCCTGGGTTTCCGCGATATACACGCACTCGCATAGCGGGGGGGGCTTCTTGAGAGGGGGGGTAGTGTAAGGAATTTTCTCGACATTCCTTAGCGCGCCCTGCAACATCGCGTACAGCAGCATCCGTTGTTCGCCCGTTACTGCTAACGGGGCTTCGTCGACTTCGCGCGCACTGTTTCACCAAACCTCGCACTGCTGGTCTGGCCGTGTCGGCCTACGCTTCGGGACTAGCCCGAGCCTCGTTTCCAGCATAGCACTAGCTAGCTCGCACGCACCGCGTTACTGTTTGCATGTTTCACGTATAAATGTTCGCTCATGCCTTCGCTCACATTTTGTACTCGTTTGACACCTTAGTGCAAATCTAGCTACTTCGATTCATTGCACCCGTAACAAAAACTCATAACAATGCTGGCTGTGCTTATCATGTGTTATGTTTGTTTTATCCCATGACCATCCATGCAAATGTCACATAATAATTGACGGGTCATTCAATCTCTCGTCATAAACCGTCCCTGGCCGATTCGTTCCATAGCGCCTTGCAGGAGCAATTGTAACGCATACTCTCCGCGCGCACGTGAGCTCAGGTGCTCCGCGCGCACGGGAGGTCAGGGCACACGCGAGCTCAGAGCGCAAGAGAGCTCGGCGCGCACGAGAGTCTAGCGCGCGCAATGGGGGGAAAGCAGCGTGGCGGCAAGGGGACAGCGGGCGGAGGGGAATCAGCTGCGGCGGGGACGACGCGGATGGTGGACGGTGCCGGGGAGAAGGGGCGCGCGGGGGGAGGCGCAGGGGAGAATGGTCGTGGCGGGGAAGGAGTGGGGAGAACGGGGCGGGCGGCGGAGGTGGCGGAGGTGGCGGTATCGCTGGGGGTGACGGGTCACGCGGGGCACCTCGAGATCATCGCCGTGGACCGCCACAGCTTCCCCCTCCACCCCCGCCTTGCCCCCCCGCCCTTCCTGCTCGTGCGCTCCTCCCCCTTCCGCTCCCCCTTTGTCCCCCCTTCCACCCACCCCACCTGGCCCCCCAGCGCTGCACGCATGTCCGCCTCTCCCCCTTTCGCTTCCCCACGGCTCCCCCCACTGCTCTCGTGCCGTCGTGCCGCCTTGCTCTCTTGCTGTGCAGCGTCCCTTACTTGCGTCACCTCCCGCCTATACCACACCTCTCTCCACGCCATACCCCTCCACTCGGCCCTATCCTGTCAACATTCACAACCAGTCGTTCCATTTCCCAGACACGTCTTGCTGCATGCACTGCCTCTAAGGGCGCCTCGCCCATACGGAGCAAGAGCAGCCAGCTCGTTCCTCTTCTCCGCCCTCATTCCACCTTCCTCTCCAAACCTCTCTCTCACAGCCTCCCAAGCTCCTCTCCCCAAACTTGTGTTACGCCCAACCTCTCCATGCAGCCCAAGCCTCCCTTCCCCAAGCCTCTGGACGTTCGGGAGCTACCGGAGCTGTGCCCTCTGGCTGTGTGGGATGACGTGGAGCGCCAGCTGGCGGTGGAGCCGCAGGAAGACGCCATGTGGCAGTACGACTGGATGCCACGTGGCGCCCTGTCAGCCGTGACACCTGGCGGGCTGGGCAGCGTGCTGCAGCCAGCGTGGCACCCTCCCTGGGTGGAGGAATGGGGAGATGGGGTGTGGGGGGAGGTTGAGGGGGAGGGGAAGGGCATAGAGGAAGGGGAGGGCGTGGGTGAGGAGGAGGGAGGGGCGGTGAGGCGACCAGAGCTGGTGGACGAGGTGAGGTGCTGCCTGCCTGCCGCCCATATGCGTCCTGTCCGCTCTTTGGCCCCCCGTTTGCCTCTCTAGGCGCCCATAGTGACCTTTGTCTGTCTGTCCCCACCCATGTCTGTCCCCACCCATGTCTGTCCCCACCCATGTCTGTCCCCACCCATGTCTGTCCCCACCCATGTCTGTCCCCACCCATGTCTGTCCCCACCCATGTCTGTCCCCACCCATGTCTGTCCCCACCCATGTCTGTCCCCACCCATGTCTGTCCCCACCCATGTCTGTCCCCACCCATGTCTGTCCCCACCCATGTCTGTCCCCACCCATGTCTGTCCCCACCCATGTCTGTCCCCACCCATGTCTGTCCCCACCCATGTCTGTCCCCACCCATGTCTGTCCCCACCCATGTCTGTCCCCACCCATGTCTGTCCCCACCCATGTCTGTCCCCACCCATGTCTGTCCTCACCCATGTCTGTCCCCACCCATGTCTGTCCCCACCCATGTCTGTCCCCACCCATGTCTGTCCCCACCCATGTCTGTCCCCACCCATGTCTGTCCCCACCCATGTCTGTCCCCACCCATGTCTGTCCCCACCCATGTCTGTCCCCACCCATGTCTGTCCCCACCCATGTCTGTCCCCACCCATGTCTGTCCCCACCCATGTCTGTCCCCACCCATGTCTGTCCCCACCCATTTTGGTTTTGACCTCCCTTACCTTCGCACCTCCATCTTTGTCGGAAGCTCCTCGGCTCACTCACACACCTCTCCTCTTGCTTGCTTCTTTCCTCTGATACTTACTGACTGACCTGTCCCCTTCTCCTTCTCCATCACCGCTAAGCATGTAACTGAATATGTCGCTCTTACCCTTATCTTCCGTGACACCTTCCCCGCACATATCTGGATCTCAACCCCTCCCCACTTAAACCTTTCCATCCCCCCTTCTCCTTCCCCTTTCCTCCCCTTCTCCCCAGCTGTTCTTCCCCCTGGGAGCGTACCTTGATGTCACCCATCCGCCTCTCTCCGCCCTGGAGCTCGTCCGTGACACCACTGCTGCTCAACCCCTCGCCCTCTCCTTCCTTCCCCCTCCCACCCCCCCGCCCTTCCCCCTTCGCCCTCCCCCCATCCCCAGCTGTTCTTCCCCCCGGGCACGTATCTTGATCTCACCCGCCCGCCCCCCTCCGCCCTAGAGCTCGTCCGTGGCACCACTGCTGGCGCCGCCCACCCCCTCGCCCTCTCCTCCCACCCACCTCCACACACTGCTGTTGCTGGGGGTGCAGCGGAGTTGCAGCATGGGGAGGGGCAGCAGGCGGGTGGGGGGAGAGGGGAGTCGGATGAAGCGCTAGCGGCGCTGTTTGCGTACTTGGAGAGAGGGGCGGAAGGGGGTGGGGGAGGGGGAGCAGCGCAAGGAGAGAAGAGGGGCGTTGGGGACTCGTTGCTACTGCTGAGTGTGCCGCCCGGGTTCACTGAGGGCGGACGATTCGAGGCCAGGGAGGAGGTGAGACATGGGTGGGTGGTTGGCGGGATGGGAGGTCTCTTTCTTTCTTGCGGCTTGCATGTGACTTTTGAGTCGATGTAACGAGGTGACTTTTGAGTCGATTTAACGAGGTGACTTTTGAGTCGATGTAATGAGGTGACTTTTGAGTCGATTTAACGAGGTGACTTTTGAGTCGATGTAATGAGGTGACTTTTGAGTCGACTCAAAAGTCGACTTCTTTCTTGTGGCTTGCATGTGGTTTTCAACGCATGTCAGGAGAAATCTCGGGATTTACAAACAGGTGAAATGTCGCAACAATAGCAGTATGCCCGTTGTGCTGCTGATGTGTTGTTTAAGAGGTATTTTGAGTGAGCTTCCTGCCTGTTTTGTTTGATTGCCTTGCTTCCATCCCCCAGAGGGACATGCTGCCGCTCTCTCTGCTGCGCGCTGGCAACCTTTCAGAGGTGCCTCCGAAGGAGACACAGGGTGCGGGCTCTCTCCAACCCACCCACCCCACCCAACCCCATCCCACCCCCAGAGGGACATGCTGCCGCTCTCGCTGCTGCGCGCGCTGGCCACCCCCCCAAAGGAGGTCTCAGAGGTGCCTCCTGAGGAGGCGCAGGTTGCGGGCACTGGAGGGGCAGCAGGGAGCGGCGCTGCTGGTGTGGAGGGGGGAGAAGGGGGAGAGGGAGAGGCTGAAGGGGAGGCTGGGGGTGGGCAGGGGGGAGGAGAGGGGGAGAGCGGGAAGCTTGGGTTTGCAGATGTGTTTCAAACGGCGTGGGGTGCTGGGGGGGATGAAGAGGAGGAAGAGGAGGAGGACGAGGAGGAGGATGGAGAGGAGGAGGAGGGAGAGAAAGAGGGAGAAGGGGAGGAAGGGAAGGGGGTGGTGGGAGGAGGAATGGGCGCCGGAGAAATGGTTTCCTCTGCAGGTGCGTGGCAGCGGCAGGACACACAGCTCACACAGGGCACATACATTCATCCATGAGGCTGATTGGCCGCTTTGCACGGAAGTCCCATACACGCATTGAAGTTGCAGCTGCAGCAATGGCTAGTCGTGAGCCTTTAGCCATTCATTCAAGCCTTTAGCCATTCATTCAAGCCTTTAGCCATTCATTCAAGCCTTTAGCCATTCATTCAAGCCTTCAGCCATTCATTCAAGCCTTTAGCCATTCATTCAAGCCTTTAGCCATTCATTCAAGCCTTTAGCCATTCATTCAAGCCTTTAGCCATTCATTCAAGCCTTTGTCGTATCAATCTCCGATGTGTTGTGCCATGCATTCAGGCCTTTAGCCCTGCCAAAGGCGCGTCGTTTGTCCTGTGCAGCCGTCCATTACCGCTCCATCTGATGCCATCCCGATTCCTCTCTCCGCTCCCCCGTTCTTCCCTCCCTCCCACCCACCCCTCACAGCCACCGCACGGCCGTCACCACAGGGCAAGCGCGGTGAGAGGAAGAGCGGGGCGGCAGCAGCAGTGGATGCGCTGCTGGGGGCGGGCAGGGGGGCGTTTGGCAGCCTCGAGTGGTGGACTGCTGGCTCGGGCCTGGGGCTGCTGGGGGCTGCGCCGTCTGCTTCCCGCCCTGCTGCTTCCAAGGAAGTAATCCTTCTTCTGCCGCTTCTGCTTTGCTGCTGCTGCTGCTTTGGTTTCAGAAGTGCCGGTTCATGCACCGTGCCACATGATACTGTTTCTTCATTTCTGTAAGTTGCCCCATCCCTAATGCCACACCAAACCATGCACCCCCAGGGGAAGGGGTGGAAGTGGCCTGTGAGACGCACAGAGCTACCGCACGCATTCCTCTTACCTCCTCCTCCCGTTCTTTACCCGGGCCACGCATCTATCGTACCTTGCATCTCACCAGGGCCATGCATGGGCGTGGGCAGTGACAAACGGCATACCGTATCTGGACCGTGAGTTGGCCACCATCGAGCCCACTTCTGAGGCGCCTCAGATCAGAAGTCGAGCCCGACAGAAACACACAGTGCACCGTCTCTCCTCCTCTTTTCCTCCCCCCTCTCTCTCCCCCCGCTCCCCCCAGGGCCATGCATGGGCGTGGGCAGTGACAGACGGCATACCGGATCTGGACCGAGAGTTCGCCACCATCGAGCCCGACATGGCCATGACCTTCCCTTTCCAGCTCGACACCTTCCAGAAAGAGGTGCGGACATAGTGAGCAGTGAGCAGCATGTAGGTGCCGTGAGTGACTTGTATAGCGTTCATCAGACCAAACACCACGATCCCCACATGGCCATGACCTTCCCCTTCCACCTCGACACCTTCCAGAAAGAGGTGGGACATAACTAACAACATGTAGGTGCCATGGCATAGGGAGCACACCATGTAGGTGCCATGGCATAGGGAGCACACCATGTAGGTGCTGTGACCTGTAGACTGTAGTATAGCTCTCATCGGACCACCACCATCCAGCCCCACATGGCCATGACCACCACCATCCAGCCCCACATGGCCATGACCACTCTCTGTCTCCTCTTCTCTTTTCGTGCTCCGTGCCTCTTGTGCCCACCCATGCACCACCCATGCACCGCCCATGCACCGCCCATGCACCGCCCATGCACCGCCCATGCACCACCCATGCACCGCCCATGCACCGCCCATGCACCGCCCATGCACCGCCCATGCACCGCCCATGCACCGCCCATGCACCGCCCATGCACCGCCCATACCCCGGCAGGCCATAATCCATTTGGAGCGCCACGAGTCGGTGTTTGTGGCGGCGCACACCTCAGCGGGCAAGACAGTCGTGGCCGAATACGCCTTCGCCCTCGCTGCCAAGGTGCGTGCCCTGCTGCTCCTGCTTTGTTGCACAGCACAGCTTGCTGCCACGGTGCTTGCTTGGTGACTTGTGAGTCGCTTCAAAGGCACACACGTCAGCCAGCAAGACAGTCGTGGCCGAATACGCCTTCGCCCTCGCTGCCAAGGTGAGTGCTGCACTGCATATGGTTGCTGCCCACACAGCCATGCCTCTTGCTTGCCGTGAATTGTGCCCGAGTGCACCATGCTCCCCATGCCCGAGTGCACCATGCTCCCCATGCCCGAGTGCACCATGCTCCCCATGCCCAAGTGCACCATGCTCCCCATGCCCAAGTGCACCATGCTCCCCATGCCCGAGTGCACCATGCTCCCCATGCCCGAGTGCACCATGCTCCCCATGCCCAAGTGCACCATGCTCCCCATGCCCAAGTGCACCATGCTCCCCATGCCCAAGTGCACCATGCTCCCCATGGCTTAACCTTTCATTTCTTCACTCGTCCCCTCACTCGAATGCCATCAACAATTACACCCCCCCCTGCAATCACCTAAATTCCTTCCTCCCCACCTCCCTCCCCTCGCCCCCCCGCCACCAGCACTGCACGCGGGCAGTGTACACGTCGCCCATCAAGGCCATCAGCAACCAGAAGTTCCGTGACTTCAGCAAGCGGTTCGACGTGGGGCTGCTGACGGGCGACCTTAGTGTGCGCCCCGAGGCCGCCTGCCTCATCATGACCACCGAGATCCTGCGCTCCATGCTTTATCGGGCTGCTGACATCATCAAAGACATCGAATGGGTTTGTGCACATGCATTTGTGTGAGCGTGGGTGTGTTGGTGTCATGTGATGTGTGTGCGAGTGTGCGCCCCGAGCGTGCTTGCGTCATCATGACCAGACCACAGAGATCATGCGCTCCATGCTGTACCGCGCTGCTGACATCATTAAGGACATTGAATGGGTGCGTGCTGTTTGTACTTTGAGTCGACTCAAACCACTACATGTTTCACACACACGTGCAAGTGTTCAAGTGATGTTTCACGACAAGGAACCATGCAGCCCGTATGTTGTGTGTCTCGTGCCGCAACCGCTCTTAACCCCTCTCAACACATGCAGGTGGTGTTTGACGAGGTGCACTATGTGAACGACATAAAGCCATGCACCCCTTGTGTTGTGTTCCTCATGCCTCAACCGCTCTAACTGCCCTCAACCGCTCTCAACACGTGCAGGTGGTGTTTGACGAGGTGCACTATGTGAACGACATGGAGCGCGGGGTGGTGTGGGAGGAGGTTATCATCATGCTGCCTCCCCACGTGGGCCTCATCATGCTCTCCGCCACTGTCAGTTGCCCTCCCGTGCACCCAACCCTGCCTCCACCATCATCATGCATCATGCACAGCACCATACCTCATCATCATGCACCATGCACAGTACCACACCTCATCATCATGCACCATGCACAGTACCACACCTCATCATCATGCCGCCGCCCCACATGGTGCTCGTCACGCTCATCTATCTCTCTGCCACTGTGCGTGCACCATGCATCATGCACCACACTCCATTCATCATGCAGCATGCACCACACTCCATTCACCATGCAGCATGGACCACACTACATTCACCATGCAGCATGCACCACACTCCACTCACCATGCAGCATGCACCACACTCCATTCACCATGCAGCATGCACCACACTCCATTCACCATGCATCATGCACCACACTCCATTCACCATGCAGCATGCACCACACTCCATTCATCATGCAGCATGCACCACACTCCATTCACCATGCAGCATGCACCACACTCCATTCACCATGCAGCATGCACCACACTCCATTCACCATGCAGCATGCACCACACTCCATTCACCATGCATCATGCACCACACTCCATTCATCATGCAGCATGCACCACACTCCATTCACCATGCAGCATGCACCACACTCCATTCACCATGCAGCATGCACCACACTCCATTCATCATGCAGCATGCACCACACTCCATTCACCATGCAGCATGCACCACACTCCATTCACCATGCATCATGCACCACACTCCATTCATCATGCAGCATGCACCACACTCCATTCACCATGCAGCATGCACCACACTCCATTCACCATGCAGCATGCACCACACTCCATTCATCATGCAGCATGCACCACACTCCATTCACCATGCAGCATGCACCACACTCCATTCACCATGCATCATGCACCACACTCCATTCATCATGCAGCATGCACCACACTCCATTCACCATGCAGCATGCACCACACTCCATTCACCATGCAGCATGCACCACACTCCATTCACCATGCATCATGCACCACACTCCATTCATCATGCAGCATTCACCACACTCCATTCACCATGCAGCATGCACCACACTCCATTCACCATGCAGCATGCACCACACTCCATTCACCATGCAGCATGCACCACACTCCATTCACCATGCATCATGCACCACACTCCATTCACCATGCAGCATGCACCACACTCCATTCACCATGCAGCATGCACCACACTCCATTCACCATGCAGCATGCACCACACTCCATTCACCATGCAGCATGGACCACACTCCACTCACCATGCAGCATGCACCACACTCCATTCATCATGCAGCATGCACCACACTCCATTCACCATGCAGCATGCACCACACTCCATTCACCATGCAGCATGCACCACACTCCATTCACCATGCAGCATGGACCACACTCCACTCACCATGCAGCATGCACCACACTCCATTCATCATGCAGCATGCACCACACTCCATTCACCATGCAGCATGCACCACACTCCATTCACCATGCAGCATGCACCACACTCCATTCACCATGCAGCATGCACCACACTCCATTCACCATGCAGCATGGACCACACTCCACTCACCATGCAGCATGCACCACACTCCATTCATCATGCAGCATGCACCACACTCCATTCACCATGCAGCATGCACCACACTCCATTCATCATGCAGCATGCACCACACTCCATTCACCATGCAGCATGCACCACACTCCATTCACCATGCAGTATGCACCACACGTACATGACACAAATACATGCACCGTGCATCATACGGCATGTTGTGGGAGCAGAGCAATCATGCGCGTGGTCACAGTAGCGGGCGCCCTGTCCCCTGCGCCCCTCGCCCACAGGTACCCAACACCACAGAGTTTGCGGATTGGATCGGCAGAACCAAGAGGAAGAAGATTTTCGTCACAGGGTGGGTGGCAATCAGGGTGGGTGGCAATCAGGGTGGGTGGCAATCAGGGTGGGTGGCAATCAGGGTGGGTGGCAATCAGGGTGGGTGGCAATCAGGGTGGGTGGCAATCAGGGTGGGTGGCAATCAGGGTGGGTGGCAATCAGGGTGGGTGGCAATCAGGGTGGGTGGCAATCAGGGTGGGTGGCAATCAGGGTGGGTGGCAATCAGGGTGGGTGGCAATCAGGGTGGGTGGCAATCAGGGTGGGTGGCAATCAGGGTGGGTGGCAATCAGGGTGGGTGGCAATCAGGGTGGGTGGCAATCAGGGTGGGTGGCAATCAGGGTGGGTGGCATGGGATGGGTTTGCTGGGTGGGTCCCTGCCTAAAGCACTCTCCTCACTTGTCGTCCGTGCTCTTCCAAGCCACATGCCATATTCCTTGTATCCACCCTCCCTCTCTGTCTACTCAACATTCATCTTCCATACGCCATACCAGTCCTAATTGAACCACGTTCCTTCCTTCCCCCTCGCCTCCTTCATCCTCCTCTCCCTACCCCTCTCCGCCCCCTCCTTTCCCTCCTGCCCCCTTCCCCCTCACCACACGGCTCCCAGTGGCCTTGGAGCACAGCAGCTACTACGCAAGACGACTGCACTGTATTGTCCCACCCCTTTCAATCTCTTTGCACCTTCAACAACTCCCATCAAAACCCCCCTCCCCCCTCCCCTTCCCCCCAGCACCACGCGGCGTCCAGTGCCCTTGGAGCACAACATCTACTACTGCGGTCAACTGCACCGCATCTTCGACCTTGGGGACATGGACAGCAGTGACTGTCCATCTATGTCCACACGCCTCCCCTCTTACCCCCACTTGCCCCCCCTCCCCTCAGCACCACGCGGTGTCCAGTCCCCTTGGAGCACAGCACAACATATACTACGGCGGTCGCCTGCACTGCATCTTTGCTCCTTACTGATTCCTTCTTTTGCCTCCCCTCCTCCACTCCCCAGCACCACGCGTCGCCCAGTGCCCTTGGAGCACAACATCTACTACTGGGGGCGTCTGCACCACATCTCCTGACTACCCCTTTACACCTGTTTCAATCCCTTCCCTTTCCCCCAGCACCACGCGTCGCCCAGTGCCCTTGGAGCACAACATCTACTACGGCGGGCGCCTGCACCGCATCTTTGACCGCGGGGACATCGACAGCGCTGCTCTGCGCGCCGTGCACGCCGCACACAAGGCCAAGCACGCCCCCCCCGCGCAGCAGGCTGGAGGAGCCGGGCGAGGGGGTGGAGGGAGAGGAGGAGGGGGAGCAGGCGGGCATGGGGGACAGCAGGGGAGAGGCGGGCAGGCGGGGCGGGGCGGCAGAGGAGGGGGAGGAGGGAGAGGGGGAGGGGGAGGAGGAGGAGGGGGAGGGGGGAGAGGGCGTGGGGCAGGGATGGCAGCGGCGGGGAGGGCGATAGCGGCGGCGATGGGGGGAGGGGGAGGGGATCGGTACCGGCGGTCGATGGCGACTGAGTGGATGCAGTTTGTCAACCTGCTCGGCAAACAGGAGCTGCTTCCTGTACGTCCAGCCCCCCTCCCCTCCCTTGATTCTCACCCCGTCCTCTCATGGTCCAGTCTCAGTTTCGGCAGTCGATGGCAACGGAATGGATGCAGTTTGTGAACCTGCTCGGCAAACAGGAGCTGCTCCCTGTGCATTGCTCTCCCCTCCTCATTTTCCTTGAAGTGATAGTTCCTCTGTTGTCTTTTATTCCCACGACTTGCTCTCCTGTTCTGTCCTCTCGTGACGCATGGTTTTGTCTCATAGTATTTACACCACCCCTCCCTTCCATGCCCAGGAGCTAGCATTCTGCTTCTGCGACGAGTAATTGCCCTAACGAGCAAGAACTCGCGCCCACCCCTTCCCACCAATGGTGGCCCCCTCCACTCTGTGCCGTGCTCAGGTGGTGGTGTTCTGCTTCTCCAAGCGGCGTTGTGACGAGTCAGCGGACAGTCTGACCTCAGTGGACCTCACGTCAAAGAGTGACAAGAGCGCCATCGTCATGTTCTGTAACTCCGCCTTCGCACGCCTTAAGGGCTCTGATAGGCATCTGCCACAGGTGCGGTTGAGTTCAGTGCGGTTGGTGTAGGTGGAATGGGTGCAATGTGGTTGGGTGTGATTCTAACATGTGCACCTGACATCAAAGAGCGACAAGAGCGCCATCGTCATGTTCTGCAACTCCGCCTTCGCTCGCCTTAAAGGCAGTGACAGGCACCTGCGGCAGGTGGGATGGGTGCAGTGTGGTTGTGGTGGGATGGGTGCAGTGCGATTTTAGCGTGATGGGTGCAGTGCGGTTGGTTGGTGGGGATTTTCTTGTGCACCAGTCACAGATGGATTCCAGACTGAAAGCTGGCGTTATGGGTCGTTGTTGTTATAAGATGGTAGCCGTGCGCACGGGTTAGATCTGGGAGGGATTCCTGGCAAACACCCCATGCCTTGGGTGGGATGCAATTAATCTTGCCCGTACCAATGCACGTTACACGTTACCTGGCACGCACCACCTGATATGTACCTGACACACTCATTCACCCACACCACCTGACACCCCACCTGACACCCCACCTGACACCCCACCTGACACCCCACCTGACACCCCACCTGACACTTCACCTGCCACCACCTGACCCCCCACCTGGCACCCTACGTACCTGGCAGGTGGAGCGCATATCGGAGCTGCTGCGGAGGGGCATCGGGGTGCACCATGCAGGGCTGCTGCCCATCGTGAAGGAGGTCGTGGAGATGCTCTTCTGCTCTGGCCTCATCCGCGTAAGGCTCGTTGCATGCATGCATGTCCATAGACATGCACTTGGTAGGTTACACACATGCGCGTGTCAGTCGGTCGACGTGAAGAGCATCAGTGCACGGCCTGGAGTAGTGAACGGCAGTGCACGGCCTGGAGTAGTGAACGGCAGTGCACGGCCTGGAGTAGTGAACGGCAGTGGGTTTTGATTGCCGCTGCCCATCGTGAAGGAGGTGGTTGAGTTGCTCTTCTGCTCCGGGCTCATCCGCGTAAGGCCCTTTGCATGCACGCATGCATGTGCATAGTCTAGGACTAGGTAGCACACTTGCGTGTGACGGCCGGTTGGTCCACATGACGAGCACAACGGTGCATCATGCACGGTAGTGGACAGCAGTAGGCCATTGTGAGGCTGCCGCCCATCGTGAAGGAGGTGGTGGAGGAGGGAAACTCTCTTCTGCTTCGGACTCATTCGAGTAAGGCTGTGTGCATGGTTCATGAATTCATGCGCATGCATACACTAGCTAGCTAGCACACACATGGTAGGCGGCAGCAGCAGCTGCTGCCAGTTGTGAAGGAGGTGGTGGAGGGAGATGCTCTCTTTTGCTCCGGGCTCATCCGAGTAAGGCTGTCGTATCAGTTCATCAATTAAGTTGGTCCAGGAGGAGTGCGTTTAAATCCCCACACAAGTGCGTTACACCACCAACCAAGCTTCATGCTGGCTCATTTTCGGAAGTTGCCCCCCCCCTGCGCTGTGCCATGTCCCGCTCTGCTTTTCTCTCCTCTCCTCTGTGCCGTTTGTGCCCGCCATCATGCGTGGGCAGGTGCTCTTCTCCACGGAGACATTTGCCATGGGCGTCAATGCCCCTGCCCGCACTGTGAGTTTTGAGGCACCTCAAAAGGCGTCAATGCCCCTGCCCGCTACGTGAGTTTTGAGTCGCCTCAAAAGGCGTCAATGCCCCTGCCCGCACCGTGAGTTTTGAGGCGCCTCAAAAGGCGTCAATGCCCCTGCCCGCACCGTGAGTTTTGAGGCGTCTCAAAAGGCGTCAATGCCCCTGCCCGCACCGTGAGTAGGGATGAGCAAAGGGCGAACTCGAACACGTTCGCTCGAACATCACCATTTCCCGAACCGAACAAGGTTCGGTTCGGCGAACAATTTGGCAAGCAGGATGTGTTCGTCGTTCGCCCATGGGGGCGAACATTTGCTATATGTGGGCAAACTCGAACATGTTCGGTTCGAACATGTTCGAGTTCGCCCGTGGGCGATTTCGTTATAGTCACATTGGTCAAACAGGGAATCTGGAGGGTTGGGAAGATAGATAGGAGGGTGGAGGGTGTATATGTGTTCATGCAACGCACACTAGCATACGACACCATCATGTTTTGCCTATATAAAAGTCACTGTCAAATTAAATCCTACGCCTGCACACCACTGCTACTACCAACAACAGCATGCTCCGCGTCAGAGGTGTCGCCAGCACCCACCCCCTCCTGCTCCTCCTCCCCCTCCTCCTCCTCCCACTCGTCGTCCTCATCCTCCCCCTCGCCTTCAATGGCGAACTCTGGTGGTGCCTCGCCTTTTGCACGGCGGCCCTCGCCTATCCTCTGTCCAGGGTGTGAGCTGTACCATGATCTGAGAATCATGGAAGCTCGCGTCCCCTGAGAGGCTAGGCGGTGCCGCTTCCAGGAAATGAGGTTGCGGCCGAGGGAGAACACGCGCTCGCTCGACGCGGACGTGACAGGGATGGCAAGATAATCCCGGGCCATGCGCCTCAGCGTCTGCATGTTGGTGGCGCTGTGCCAATACTCCAACGCTGACACGTCGCACCGCACCCTTTCAGATAAGTATCTGCCAACCTCGTCATCCTGCACCATCCCACCCCTCCCCGCCTCCTGGCTCGCCGACAGACGCGCCGCAAGGTGTCGGCGACTAAAGAGAAACTCGGCGTCTTCGTCGTCATCCGCCGCGTCTCCCTCCTCCTCCTCTGTCACTAGGGCAAGTGGGGTCAGCTAAGGGGCAATCGCTGCAGCCCGGGCCTGGTACTCGGCCACGCGTTCGCGAACCAGCTGGATCACCTCGCCTGACGAGGGACGGGGCCTCGCCCTCCGGTTGGTGTCGGGATGCAGCGTCTCCCAGTGCGCGTCGTCGAACCACGCCGCCTTCATGGAAGGGTCCAGGAAGGTCGCGATCCACAACTCGTTGCTTGACATCAGTTCATACTTCTTCAAGAGACCCAACGCCGCCTCAATCATCGGTTTCAGCGTAGCTGATGGCCCCTTGGCAAGGCGCGACTCCATAGCGTCGATCAGACCGTTGTAGTATGGCAAGATCATCGCCATTGTAGGTTACGCCGCTCCCTCCGCGGCCTTTGAGACTTTGGCGAATGGGCCGAGGAAGGTCTTGACAGAATGCAGAGTCTCCCAGTCTGCGTTCGTCAGGCGCAAGGTGTCCAGCTTCGCCTTGTCAGCCTTCGACACGCCATGTCGGGTAGAACATATGGGTGGGCGGGTGTTAGGGTGGAAAGTGGGGTGGTTGAGGTTGTTGGAGGTCCGATAAGTTTAGTCAAGCATGGCCAACAGTGGTGCAAGTCCCAGAACAAAACACCCCGACATACCAACACATAAAACCGCATATACAACACCTGGCACACACACACACCTGTGTCTGGGCAAAGAAGACAGAGATGGGTTCCTGCAGAACCCCAGCTCGCTCGACCATGTCGTGGGCCGACCCCCAGCGTGTGGGACTGTCCTGCACCAGCTTCAATGCCGGCTTCGGTTTGGCGGGGTTGCCCTGCGCGTTCAGGGTCCGCTGAAGGCCCAAGAACTTCCCTGAGCGCTGCGGCGAGAAGCCTATCCACGACGCCATCTCTCTCAGAATCTTCAGCAACTTGCGGATGGCGGTCAGAGCGAGTGCTGCCTTCACTGCAAGGTTGATCACGTGTGCCAGGCATCTGCGCACATCACAAAACATTAATGGCGGAGAGAAAGGGAAGTGTGTGTACACATTGGCATAGATCCGAGAAACACTACCACTCTCGAGCCGCATAGGCCCACCCGCCCGTACTACAACCACAAAATGTTCACAGGAACGACGCACCCAGACTCCCTCATCGCACATCCCACGCACACTCCCTTTCGTACCGGAAGTGCATGCGCGAGTTGAAGAAGCACTGGCCACCACCCTCCTCCGACATCCATCTGAAAGCGGCAGTGTTGCTGGAGGCGTTGTCTGAGGTGAACCCAAAACAACGCGTCTCCAACCCCCACTGCACCACCGTCTCCTCAACCACCCTCGCCATATGCTTGCCCGTGTGACGCCCGTGAATCTCGCGGAATTCAAACACCATTGTGCGCAACTGGTAATTATCGTCAATCCAGTGACCCGTTACCACTAGCCACGCCCTGTTGTTGGGCGCCGTCCACATGTCGATGGTGAACGACACCCTGCACCCCAGCTCCCCCTCCTTCCCCAGCATCTCCGCAATGGCTGACTGAAGAGCGGCAGCCGCATAGACCACTGTGTCGCGGGAAACCGTCCAGCGCGAGGGGATGAAGTTCTTCTGCGCGCAGTTGCGGTTTAGCAGGATGAGTAGCTCACGAAACTGGAGAGGGGTAGAGACAAGGGGGGAGAGGGGAGTAACGTTAGGGGGATGGGATGAAAATAATATAGCACTGGGCCACACACAAACAGTCAAAACACAAAGGGACAGACCCGTCCACTAACCACATACTTGCCCAGTCATGCATGGGATGGGATGGGGCACTTACAGCCTCGGCCTCGACGATGCGGAAGGGGGTCGCAGGTGACCACCAGCTTCGTGATCGCCTGCCGTAGCTGCACCGAGGTCAGTTTGGTTGTCATCCACCGCTCCATCCCGCCTGACCCATGACCTCCACCAGTCGCCATCCCTTTCCCCTTGGCGAGCTGCGGCCAAGTCTTGGCATGTGGCCACTGATAGACGTAGCCATCCGGCACTCCCTTGTAGCCCCCACGGGGAAACGTCTCCCCTGGCAAGTGAACGGACGGGGTGTGGTAACGGTGATGCCACACATGCATGTGCGCAGTGTGGAAGCTCGCAAAGTGCCGCTCGCCGGGGGTTGTTGTGGATTTCTTCCACGAAATCCTGTTTGTGCAAATCTTGCACTGACACTTATCGTCTGCCCCTAACGGTCCGAACATCATTACTTGCCACCCCAGCTTCCTATTACCCTTGCTAGTCCCCTTACTACTCTCGGACCCTCCGTCCTCGTCTAGGAACTCGGGAGCGATCACACCCTCGCCCAAGGGCTCCCCAGTGAACGTGCAGGGATACGCCCGCTCCCTCAACTTGTTGGCCTTCTTCCTCTGCCTCGGCTCCCTAATGGTCACGGCATTTCTCCCCCCCACCGTAACCCCCACGCTCCCTCCCCCTTCACGCACATGCTGTGATCCCGCCTCTGTCGCCGCCCTTCCACCCTCTCCCACCTCCTCCTCCCGCCCCTCTGGCTCCAACCGATCCATCTCGTGGTCTTCATCATCATCATCTCCCCCCTGCCCACCGCCATGCGTCTCTGGGTCCCACCCCGCCTCGCTGTCATCCCCGCTCCCCTCAGTGTCCTCCTCCTTCTCGCCCTCACCATCCTCCTCCTCATCCTCCTCCTCACTGCCGCTCTCCGGCTGCATCTGCGTCTGCCCCGAAGGAGGGGGTCGAGGGCCGTCGTAACGGAAAGAGCGACGAGAGGTCGGCGCCGGTACGGTAAGCAACCCCCCAACGAAGATCGCGCCGGCTCCTCCCGGTCCATCCCCTACTCGCCCCTGCATAGGTCGTGGTGGAGAACCCGGTGCGCTGCCCTGAGCCCTGCCTGCACCTCGGCCTATGGATCCACCAGCCGTGGAAGCTTTTTGGTGAGATGGATCCACCAGCCCTGGAAGCTCAAGCACAAATTAGTCGCGACCTAAATCTGGTCGCGGCCAATTTTGACCCGAACCTTTTTGGTGTTCGCGTGGCCCCCAAGTCGAACACAAACATGTTCGTGTTCGGCTTGGAGACCCGAAATTCTGGGGCGAACGTCGAACATGTTCGGCCGAACACCGAACATGTTCGACCCAAACAATTTAGGCAAAAAAAATAGCCTGTTCGGTTTGCCTCGAACATATTCGAGGCGAACTGAACAGGCGTTCGGAATTTTGCTCATCCCTAACCGTGAGTTTTGTGGCGCCTCAAAAGGCGTCAATGCCCCTGCTCGCACCGTGAGTTTTGAGGCGCCTCTAAAGGCGCCAATGCCCCTGCTCGCACCGTGAGTTTTGAGGCGCCTCTAAAGGCTTCAATGCCCCTGCCCGCACTGTGAGTTTTGAGGCGCCTCAAAAGGCGTCAATGCCCCTGCCCGCACCGTGAGTTTTGAGGCACCTCAAAAGGCGTCAATGCCCCTGCTCGCACCGTGAGTTTTGAGGCGCCTCTAAAGGCTTCAATGCCCCTGCCCGCACTGTGAGTTTTGAGGCGCCTCAAAAGGCGTCAATGCCCCTGCCTGCACCGTGAGTTTTGAGGCGCCTCAAAAGGCGTCAATGCCCCTGCTCGCAACGTGAGTTTTGAGGCGCCTCTAAAGGCTTCAATGCCCCTGCCCGCACTGTGATTTTTGTGGCGCCTCTAAAGGCTTCAATGCCCCTGCCCGCACTGTGAGTTTTGAGGCGCCTCTGAAGGCGTCAATGCCCCTGCCCGCACTGTGAGTTTTAAGGCGCCTCTGAACGTCAATGCCCCTGCCCGCACTGTGAGTGCTCTGAGTTACACAAATTTGTTATGGAGGAAATGTGTTTCAACAGCTTGATTTGGTTGGTTAGTTTTCATTTTCCATCCAGAATTCCCAAATTCAGTCTTCTTTGTCGGGGGGGGTTATTATCTTCCAACGTTTTGTGATGGTTTGGTTTGAAGTACGTGAGACTGTTCGCCTCCTTTCTTTCATAGATTAATCACCTCTGCTCGTGTTTTACTTTACTGGAGGGGTGGTGAGGGGTGATATGCACTGGATGCAAATCACCCATCGATATAAACTTTCCTGCCCATGCTGTAAACTGCAGCTGATGGATGGTCAGATGGATGACATGGGATTGGTCAGATGGATGACAGGATTGGTCAGATGGATGACATGGGATTGGTCAGATGGATGACATGGGATTGGTCAGATGGATGACATGGGATTGGTCAGATGGATGACATGGGATTGGTCAGATGGATGACATGGGATTGGTCAGATGGATGACATGGGATTGGTCAGATGGATGACATGGGATTGGTCAGATGGATGAATGGGATTGGTTAGATGGATGACTTGGGATTGGTCAGATGGATGACATGGGATTGGTCAGATGGATGACATGGAATTGGATTTCCCCTGTTTCCCGCCCTCCTCATCTCTTCCTCTCTCCTTTCCCCATTTCTCCCTCACCTTGCACCCTTTCGCTCACTTGGCCCCTCAACATCCCTTCCTTGTGCCCTTCCTTCCATCAACTGGCCTTCCACGCACTCAAGAAGCGCAACTAGGCGTTCGGTTCAGTTATGACCGTGGTTCGATCCAGTTTGCAACGAACTAGTTCAAGTTTTGCTCAAGATCTCATGCCCGTCTGTCTCTCATGCTCACTCCCTTCTTTCAATTCTCAACCCCTCGTCCCTTCCATCACTTGGCCTTCCACTCCACACACTCAAGAAGCGCATTTGCTCGCATACTCACCCTCATCTCTCGCTCCTCTCTCCTCTCCCTTCTCTTCCCCTCGTCCCCTCCATCAGGTCGCCTTCCATGCACTGAAGAAGCATGACGGGCGCTCCTTCCGCATGCTGCTGCCAGGGGAATACACGCAGATGGCCGGCAGGGCGGGCAGGCGAGGACTGGACAAGGTGAGACGAGTTGTGAGGTAAGGCTGTTGATATGATAAAACAAAAACTTGGGAGCTGATAAGGCAAGGTGAGAGATGTGAATCGTCGCTTGCAGCTTCTGCATGCCCTTAGTACACGCAGGTTGCAGGGAGGGCAGGCAGGCGCAGAGTGGACAAGGTGAGACGGGGATGGTGTGAGGTCAGGTTTCAGTGTTGACAAGCCAAGACACGTGACTGATAGGACGAGGTTACATGAGTTGACCGCTCCTTGTGCATGCTGCTGCTGCTGCTGCTGCCGCTGCTGCTGCTGCTGCAGAGGTGGGCCCAAGTAGATTCACCATCGCTTCACTGTCGTGCTGCACCCCTTCATTGTCCCCTGCAGTTGTGTATGGTCATCGTCTGCTGCTCCGGGGGCGTGGGGGAAATGTGGGGTGTGACACCCTGTCCCTGCACCCTCCCTTCCCCTGTCCCCTTCCAGTTTGACACGGTGATCATCTGCTGCTGGGAGGCCGGGAATGTCCTTTCCACATGAATAAGTGGTTTTTCTTAGGCTGTGCTGCACCCTTCCTTGCACCGTCCTTTTCCTCACCGTCCCCTCTCCGCCCTCACCCTCCGGCAGTTTGGCACGGTGATCATCTGCTGCTGGGAGGGCGAGGAGGTACCAAGTGAGGTGGATCTGAGGCGGGTGCTGACTGGCAAGGCCACCAAGCTGGAGTCGCAGTTCCGCCTCTCCTACGCCATGATCCTCAACCTGCTGCGCGTGGAGGACCTCACAGTGAGTGGGACAAGCAGCACAGCACAAGGATGAGGAGTAAGAGTGTACATCCCCTTGTCGCCTCTCCTACGCCATGATTCTCAACCTGCTGCGCGTCGAGGATGTCACTGTGAGTGAATCCCAGCCCAGAAGCGCGAGGGTGACGAGAAGGGAACCAGGTTATAGGTGGCCGCCCCTTCATGCCTCTCTCCAACGCCTCTGTCCAACGCCTCTCTCCAACGCCTCTCTCCAACGCCTCTCTCCAACGCCTCTCTCCAACGCCTCTCTCCAACGCCTCTCTCCAACGCCTCTCTCCAACGCCTCTCTCCAACGCCTCTCTCCAACGCCTCTCTCCAACGCCTCTCTCCAACGCCTCTCTCCAACGCCTCTCTCCAACGCCTCTCTCCAACGCCTCTCTCCAACGCCTCTCTCCAACGCCTCTCTCCAACGCCTCTCTCCAACGCCTCTCTCCAACGCCTCTCTCCAACGCCTCTCTCCAACGCCTCTCTCCAACGCCTCTCTCCAACGCCTCTCTCCTACGCCTCTCTCCTCAACCTGCTGCACGGTGAGGACCTCACTGTGAGTGGGCTGCTGCAGTACGGGCGTGAAGAGGATACAGTTGACCATCCCACCGTGCCTTTCTCACCCTCCCTCATCTCTCACCCACCCCTCTGCAATGCTGTTCCACGCCCCCACCCCCCGGGTGGAGGACATGTTGAAGCGCAACTGTGCAGAGGCTTCTTAGCAATGGAGCAGTGAATCCCCGCTTCTCTACTGCTACGCGCCCCACCTGCAATGCCACTCCATCACCACGATTCTCCCCCCTCTGCAATGTCTTTCCACGCCGCCGAACCCAGGTGGTGGACATGTTGAAGCGCAGCTTTGCAGAGACACATGAAAAGGAGCAACAAATTCTCCCTCCTCAACTGCTCTGCTACGCTCCTCCTCTGCAATCTCACTCCATCCATCATCAACCCCGCCCCCCCCTCAGGTGGAAGACATGTTGAAGCGCAGCTTTGCGGAGGCACATGCACAGCGCCTGCTACCCCAGCAGCAGAAGATGCTGCAGGCGGGCGAGCACGCCCTCGCCCAGCTCGCCAACGCCCAGCCCATCAGGTACCGTACCTTCTCGGTCCCCTGTTCCTTTTGCCATAATCCTCAAATCGAATCATGTGATGCTTGCTAAGCCATTGCTGAGTCCGCAACTTCTCTTGACCAGCTGCTTGGGCGGCACACCTTGTTCAACCAACACTCTCTGCAACTAAGGCGTGGCATGAGAGGGTGTCAAATTCAGTCTCATTTCCCTTCTCCCATCTCGCTCGCCTCATTTGCATCCTCCGTGTTCTCCTACCATCAATCCCCGCCTAACCCACACTCACCCCCATCCCTGCAGCTGCATCCTGGGCGACCCATCCCTCATAGAGCACTACTATGACGTCGCAAGTGACGGCCTCAGCCTGCCCTGTTCCTTCTTTCCTTGTTTCCTTCTCCTCTGTTTCCTTCTCCTCTGTTTCCTTCTCCTCTGTTTCCTTCTCCTCTGTTTCCTTCTCCTCTGTTTCCTTCTCCTCTGTTTCCTTCTCCTCTGTTTCCTTCTCCTCTGTTTCCCTCCTCTCACAACCGCTTCCCTGCAGCTGCATCCTGGGGGACCCGTCCCTCATAGAGCACTACTATGACATGGCAAGTGCTGGTCTCTCAAACTGTCATTCTCCTTGGTTCCTTATTTCGTTGTTTCCTTCTCCTCTGTCGCCCTCTTCCCTCACACCCCTTCCCCAGCTGCATCCTGGGCGACCCCTCGCTCATAGAGCACTACTATGACGTGGCAAGTGAGGCGCGTGAGCTGGATGCAGCCCTGCATGACGTGGTCATGCGGTCCCGACAGGCCTCTCAGCTGCTGACACCTGGCAGGGTCGTATTGGTGCAGCCGGCCGAGGTGAGTGGGTGGCTGGCTGGCTGTGCTGTGTACATGTGAGAAGAGGGGGGCATGGATGGAGGAAGGGGGAGAATGAAAAAGGGGGTAGGGAGGAGAGCGGGGGGCGAGAGCATGAGGATGGGGGCGAGGGAAGGGGTTTGGTGGAGCAGCAGCACTGGTCGCATCATGGTTTATGGAGAACGAAAGCACATGCGCTCTCACAACAACGATGCAGATATTGACATCGCTGTGTATGTGTTTTCCACGCAAGTGCTCCTCCCGCTTTTCCTTCCCCCCCTCCCCTCGCCATCTCACCTCCCCATCTCCCTTTCACCTCTCCCCTTCCCCGCTTCCCTCCCTCCTCCTTCCCTCTCCCCCTCCCTCTCCCCCTCCCCTTCCTTCCCCGCCCACGCCTCAGACGGCGTCACCCCACGTGGCAGCGCTGCTCAAGGGCCCGTTCGGCCCCACGCCAGCCAAGCACTCTTTCCTCGTGCTCTCCCTGCCGCGCTCCTCTGCTGCACATGCACCGGGGGAGAGCGGGGAGAGCGGCGACGGACGCGGCGGCGAGGGCTCTGGGAATGGACAGGCGGGGCGAGAGGAGGAAGGGAGGGAGGAGGAGACGAGGGTGGGTCGATCCTTCAACCAGGTCACAGTGCTGGGCACGGGTCCCAACGGGCCTATAGTCGTCAACATGCGGTTACCGCATCGCGGCACTGTAGCGGGCACGTGTTACACGGTGGAGCAGATCCCTGCCGCCCAGCTCGTGGGGGTGTGCCGAGCCAAGGTTGCTCTGGATGTGCCGAGCCTGCTGGAGGAGGTTCGGGTGCCGGCGTATGCTGCAGTAGTGCAGGCGCTGGTTCAGGTTCGGGAGGAGTGTGCTCCTGCCGACCCTCCCCTCATCGACCCCATCAAAGGTTCTCTTCTCTCCATATCCTCTCGTCATCTCCTCTTATGGGCTAGCCCAATTATCCATACATAAAGGTTTCTTGATCAAGTTGTTCCATTTCCAAATAGTATTGCTTTTGAATAGTCCACTCTGCTGTGCGCCTCCTGCTCTTATGGATCCCATCCCAAGTTTGCTGGTTTTGCCTGTCTTCCTTGCCACATCCACATCAGACCTCAAGATCGCTGACTCAGCAACGGCAGCCATGCACAAGCGCCAGCTGGCACTACGGGAGTTGCTGCCACGCAGCCCGTGCCATGCGTGCCACCGATTGGACGAGCACTACGCTGCGGTCGCCTCTCACCGCCAGCTGTCGCAACAGGTATGGTCTGAATCCTGATTGTGCCAGCTGTTTTACCCAGTAAGTCTGTTTGTACTTGCTGTCAGTCACTGCCGACGAAGCCATTTGTGACGCCTGTCATAGCACATAAAGTTTGCCTATGCCCAAATGTGGTGCAAATTGAGTACATTTGTCCCTGGTACAGCGTGGCCGTTACAGGCAATAAGGAGCAGCCAGCCTCTGCAGCAACTGCTTCTGGCCTTTACCTCCTCCCATTTATCCTCTTCACTCCTGTTTTCCTCCTCTCCTCTCTTCCCAACCACAGGTGGAGCAGCTCAAGGCAATGACGAGCGACCAGGCACTGCAGCAGCTGCCAGATTTCCACCTGCGGGTGAGTGCAGGGGGTGAGGTGCAGATGGGTGAGTGAGTGCATTGGGTGTGGTCAGTGCTGCTCTGAAAATTGCGCATAACTGCTCCACCATCTCGTTTCCTGGATCTTAACCTAAGCTTCTTTGCTTCCTAACCCTACAACCCGTGCTTTCAAAACTCTGAACCCTAAAGCCCATGCTTTCAAAACTCTGAACCCTAAAGCCCATGCTTTCTAATCTCTGAACCCTAAAGCCCATGCTTTCTAATCTCTGAACCCTAAAGCCCATGCTTTCTAATCTCTGAACCCTAAAGCCCATGCTTTCTAATCTCTGAACCCTAAAGCCCATGCTTTCAAAACTCTGAACCCTAAAGCCCATGCTTTCTAATCTCTGAACCCTAAAGCCCATGCTTTCTAATCTCTGAACCCTAAAGCCCATGCTTTCAAAACTCTGAACCCTAAAGCCCATGCTTTCTAATCTCTGAACCCTAAAGCCCATGCTTTCAAAACTCTGAACCCTAAAGCCCATGCTTTCTAATCTCTGAACCCTAAAGCCCATGCTTTCTAATCTCTGAACCCTAAAGCCCATGCTTTCTAATCTCTGAACCTCAGCCCTGAGGGGTGCAAGGAGCGCACTGCCTCTCTCCCTCTAAACCCTGAAGTCCAAACTGCAACCCTAAACCTCTTTATCCACCAGGTGGAGGTGCTCCAAATTCTCGCCTTCATAGACGCGGACCGCATGGTGCAGCTCAAGGGGCGAGTGGCGTGTGAGATGAACAGTGCCGATGAGCTGCGGCCACCGAATGCCTGCTGCACCACCACCTCCTTTCTTCCTCACTCCCTCACTCTCACACACCCCAAACCTCTTCACCTCTTGATTCCTACACTCAGAACCCTGAACCTCTTCCTTTTTAAAGCGCATAACTCAATTTTCTCAAAACCCGAAACCTTTCCCCCCCCAGGTGGAGGTGCTTCAGACCCTGGCCTTCATAGACTCAGATCGCATAGTGCAGCTCAAGGGGCGGGTGGCGTGTGAGATGAACAGCGCTGACGAGCTGCTCGCCACCGAGTGCCTGCTCAACCACCACCTCGCCGCCCTCTCGCCGCCCGCTGCTGTCGCGCTGCTCTCGGCGTTTGTTTTCCAGCAAAAGGACGCGTCGCCGCCCCAGCTCACTGCGGAGCTGGCCCATGCGAGGAACAAGTGAGAAGGGTTGAGGGAACAAGTGGGGCGGCGTGAGGGGGAGAAAATGGGCTGGGATGAGGGAGGGAAGCTATGTGTTGTGCTCCTGGCTCTTGACTTGCAACATGTCCCCCGCAGCCAACTCATAGCGCAGGAACAAGTGAGGGGCTAGTGGGAAAGAGGTGGTTTTGGGCTGGGATGGGGTACGGTAGGGATGTCTGTTTTTCTCCCGCTACACTGAACCAACCCAGGAGGTGGGTGGTGGCATGGGGATGGGGAAAAGGTGGGGATGCATACGTTCTAGATTGGGCAGGGGCAGAAATGCCTCTACAGAGCAGTTAGCTGTCTGCTCACCTGGCTCTGAATTCTCTCAACACTGGCCTGCTTCCCAGGCCCAGGGTATGGCTTGGGTGGCTGCAGTACAGGAAGCTGCATTCACTGTTTTTGGCTTGTATCCGCGCACCATCCCCACCCCAGACCGCTGCTCCTCGTGAGTTTTCCTTCACGACCAGAATCCCATCATTGCCCCCCCTTACCCGTCGACCCATTTCAACATCTTCCTCCAACTTCGCACCTGTACTAAACAAAACTGGCATAATCGTCTGGACCCCAAGCTCGTGCCCTTGCAGACTTGTGCTCCTGTTGTATCTCCTGTCTATGCACGCCACACCACAATGCGTATGCCTCTCCATGCCTGCCGCATGCCGGCCCCTGCAGGTTGCTGGACCTGGCATACTTCCTGGGCGACCTCCAGAGGCGAGTGGGGCTGCCCACATCAGCAGAAGAGTATGCAGCAGCCACTCTCAACTTTGGACTCATGGAGGTGGTCTACGAGTGGGCTCTGGTGTGTCTCCCGCACTCCCCTCTCTCTTTCGATCTCTCTTTTTACCTGTACGGCTTGCTACAACCGTTCCTCCTCTTTTGCTGAAGGGTTTCCCCCCTTTCTGTGAGATTATTTCTTCGCCGCTCGTACTTTGCAACATCTTTCCCCTTGACCATTGTGCCAGATAGCACCTTAGATGTAGCCACGTGGTGTAGCAAGGTGCATAATCAGTCACCCACTTCCTGTCTCGCCGTCCAACTGTTAAGCAGCGCAGCCAAGGGCACCAACCTGGGCTCATAAGATTGCATCTCCCTTCCTTAACTTTCCCATCTGCATTCCCCAGGGCACGCCATTCGCTGACATCTGTCCGCTGACCAACGTGGCCGAGGGAACTATCGTGCGCACCATTCTTCGGCTCGATGAGACATGTCGAGAGTTCCGCAGTGCCGCTAGGCTGCTGGGGAATGCAGAGCTCATGGCAACCATGGAGGCGGGATCTGTTGCCATCAAAAGAGACATTGTATTTGCTGCCTCACTTTATGTCTCATGAGCTGATGGAATGTCCAAATGCTGTACGTCTTGTGATGAATGGCAGTAGTGCCATACTGGTAACCATCCAAAATTGATGTACCGTAATAAAAAATATACTTTAAAACCGGGTGCAAGATTGCAAAATATAATCAATTCATGTAGTAGATACATCTGATCTATCTCTGCAGTTTGATCCAATCATCAGCCCAGCTTCATGTTGAAGTATGGGCTCGCTTCTTTCCTTTTCTTTTCCATCGCTTCTGTTCCTGCAAGCACTCGGTACCGCAGTTCAACCATACTGCTGCAATGCACTCCCAGCACTCTAGCCGCACACAAACAAGGCATGCGGTTGGAATGGTTGAGAAATGGTCCGGCACTTACCACAGCCAAGAAGTAAATGAATGTCACAACAAACATGACAATGAATATGTACTGGAACAAGTTAAACCTGTAAAGATCTCAGTAGCACATGTAGAACCCTTTAGCACATGTATGAAGAAGAGCTCTCATGCGTCTTAGAAAACAGAAGAGACGAACTCACGTACACGTATAGGTAGCGTATGCCTTGAAGATTTTCTAGCGTATGACCGAATATCTCCTGCACTGCTGTTTCTTGTGCATATGCAGCAAAGGCCTTAGCACAAAATTGTATTGCACTGCGTCAGGAGTACAAGGCGTCAGCAGAGGCACGACATACACAACCAAGCAACTGAACGTCTTACCTCGTTGCACAGCAAAGTATGAGGGCCACGTTAAATAAGAACGAACTCATGAGGGTAGCACTCCACCTGAAAATTGACACACATAAGTCTCCAAAATACAACGAACATATTAGACGTGGAACGTGTCACACCTCATGGGATGAATTGAAAGGATCAGAATGTTGAGACCAAGGTACATCTCCCCCGAAATTACAGCCAGGAAGAGGTAAAAGCAAAAAATTGAAAATGCCCCTGTTCCGAGCAGTCCTGCAGGTCAAACGGATATCACATTGAGTGTGTGTTACGATGATAACGTCGAATATCGCGGGCACTCACCCCACCACCGGTCGAGGGTTACAAAAAAATCGTTCAGGAAAGCCGACGCTGGTGGTTGTATGAGCATATATAGGATTATATGCACAATCCAAGCAACAGAAATGGCAAGCCTGCAGAGCGAATGATGCAATTAGAATACAAGACGAGAATTAACATTGTAATCAGCCCAATTATCTTACCCAATGACTCCAAATATTAGTTTCCCAATGTAGACAAGTACTGTCATAGCCCAGAACATCTCTGCTTCTTCTCCTTGGGGAAATCTTTCTCGAAGCTCAGCTTCCTCCTCTTCCAAATGAAAAAGAGCCTGTTCCAGAAACGCCATTACTTAAAGAGCTTGAGAACCTCTGACAATCCATCCTTACCTGCTGCAACTTCTTTGCATTTCGTCTCCATGCCCAAGTTTTACCGCCACTTCTCTCCTCCTGCTGAAGAGTAACAGCAAGTTCATGTATCTCCTTGGCTTTTTTCCCAATTGCTGTGGCTTCCTGGATCGGCGTTGTGTAACGTTAGGAGAACTATGAATAGGAAACAATACCTTAAATGACTTGTAACTGCTGGTACCTTGATGTACTCCGAGCGAGTTATTGTGGCTCTTGGACGCCTTAGAAAGGAAAGAATAGATGAAAGTGGCAAGACGGCTATGCCAACACCACCAAAAATCTGCATAAACGCAGGCGTCAGTCAATCTGAGCATCTGATTGAGAGGGAGCCGCGGACAATAGTACTTACTGAGAATAAGAGAGACCCCAGTATTGTAAATAATGCAATAATGTACTTCGGAAACGAGACCCTCAGTGTCCACGTGGTCTTGGATCCTTGAGGAGAAGCATAAGAAGAACACTAATTTCACACAAATAACATATTAGGCGTATCCCACAAAAAGAAGGGACCATAAGGTGACCATTTCTCACTCACCGCGCCCAGACCAGTATTATACAAGGAAACACAGGAAGCCTGACTGCCAAGCGAGCTAAAGTCGTTCGTCATGGGAATAGTCGCAGAGACCAGCCTCTTTACAGGATACTCCACGTAACCAACGAATCCTGACATGGAATTGTCATAGGACCAATGAGAAGCACTTGACGCAGGGAATGAAATCGTATCTATTCTCCGGCTTACCATAAAGAATTCCAAGGAGTCCCCCGAACACAAACACTGATAGAAGACACCACAAGACCGCGAGCAATACCCGTTTCCCGGTACCCCTGCACACGATGAAAGCTGAGTCATCGATGGTAAGCGAAACTAACTCAACTGCCTTCTAGCCAACTCACTTACTTTTCTTCATCGCCTTCGTACAAAAAGATGGAAAAAGGGATGATGACGAAGACCATGACGCACATAGCAATCCAAAGGATGTACCACAGAGTTCTCATGGGTAAAGTCTCAGAGCAATCTCCGTTCACAAAGCCATTAATGCAGCTTTGCCGGTTCGAAACGTCCGCAGGAAGCATGAGAACTGAAAGCTGTGCAAGCGTAAGACCAATGACCTGCGCAAAGCAAACGGCGTCTATTGAGTATAAACATCACATGTTCTCCGCACGACCAACGCAGCAGTGAGCAATACGATCCGACAGAGATCCAAGAATATGCGAGGACTTATGTCGTTGGGATTATTGGGATATTATTAGAAACCAGTTCCCCTACCACGACAAGCTTTGGAAAGTACGCTTGGTTCGAGTCATCTGGATGTTGGTAGTTAATGAGGAGATAAATACTGACGGCGATGGAAAGCAATGATACAACAATTGCAATAACAAGCAGAGCAATGTTAATGTCCCCCATAGCTTGGAAAACAAGGAAGAATGTGCAGATTTGTTGACAAATTCTTCCACAGCCTCTCCTCTCATATGCTGCAGTATAGAAAGCGTGATGGAAGGCATGTGGTTGGGGTGGGCTCGTAGGCAAGTGAGCGCGAGAAGCAGCGTTTCAGTGGATGAATGAGTACGATAAGGCGATTCGTTCGTCCTCGCTGTAAAGCAAGTCTTCGTTATGAAAAACAGATCACCTAGCCCCAACTAGCCTGGCCAAATCCTCTCACTACATTCGTAAACAGGTAACAGCAGAGGCATGCGGCCCTGCCATAGTGCAAATAACAGTCGTGTAGAGTGCTGTACGCGCTATACAGTGTGACGAGAAGTGGTTTTATCCCGCTATTATCTGGAAAGATTTCCCCGTCAAGCCCGTCGCCGCCATGTATGTCGGAACATTTTCCCGCGTGAATTCAGTCCAACAAAACGCCTGGTGTGCAACCCAACACGAAAGATTGAAACCTTGTTCTACATTTCGCCATCATTCTGTTTTCGCATCTCGGCTCGCTGGGGACGCCATCATTTCGCAAATGGCAAAAGAAGCAGAATCCAGGTGGATGGGATGCTGTCCAGGTGACCAGTAGGAAGTTGGAGTCGCGTCGCATGTTGATGATTGAGGCGTGATCGACCGTGAAGCGACTGTCCCTCTCAAATTGATACTTTGGGCCAGGTGAGCCTACAAAAAACACACGTTTGGCACTGACCCTCGTTTCTCCTCAGAGTCTTCACATAGTAGTACGTGTACCCTCGCAGCCTTTTATGCTCCTACGATCTAGAGTTACAGTCACTCAAGGTTCTCTCTGCGCACGCGCCATGGGGCCGTCTAGGCAGCTCTCGGCTCTCACCGCCGTCTGCACGTTCGCATTGCTGCTGGCGTCAGCTGCCGCGCGGCCCAGCAAGGAGGATCTGATCAACGAGGTGAAGGCGGCCCGAGAAGCACTCAATGACCCCAAACTGAACGGAAAATACAAGAGCAGCGGCGCAATGATGGACCAAATCGTTCCGGCTATGGGTACTAAATCATGTTACATCACAAAACCCCCCCTATTAGATAGGTCAATATTTGGACCAATTTTGGTGTTTCCGTCCAAAATCGGGCCATTATTGGTCTCATTGTGTGGACCAATATTGGTGTAGTTGCTAAGATGAAGTTTGGGCTATGTTTGGCCAAACTTTAGATGAGTTTAAGGACCATTTTTTTACCAAATCTACTCTCAGCTTTAACCCAAGTTGGACCAAACATGGTCCCAAACTAGAGTTTGGTTGGGCCCAATACAAAACTGCCATTTGTATGAAATTTCATTTTAAAAACCATTTTTATTGCAAAAACATATTACAGCATAATGTACCTCCAGATATAGCAAAACAATACCGAACAACTGTATTGCTTCGACACTACCACATCCTTCTACTGATGGTGGGTTGGTTCTACTGATGATAAGAGCACTGCCACATCCTTCCCTGCTGCTCCGCACCTGTCCCCATGCTGCCACTGCTGCTCCGCACCTGTCCCCATGCTGCCCCTGCTGCTCCACACCTGTCCCCATGCTGCCACTGCTGCTCCGCACCTGTCCCCATGCTGCCACTGCTGCTCCGCACCTGTCCCGATGCTGCCACTGCTGCTCCGCACCTGTCCCCCTGCTGCCCCTGCTGCTCCGCACCTGTCCCCCTGCTGCCCCTGCTGCTCAGCACCTGTCCCCATGCTGCCGCTGCTGCTCCGCACCTGTCCCGTTGCTGCCACTGCTGCTCCGCATGTCCCCATGCTGCGGCTACTAGTTGTTACTGCCACTGCTACGCCCCTCCGCACCAGTCTCTGTGTTGCTCCTGCAGGTTGCTATTGCGACTGCTACGCTACTCCGCACCTGTCTCCGTGCTGCTCCTGCAGGTTGCTACTGCCACTGCTACGCCCTGCACCGATCCCCCTAGTGCTGCTGCTAACCTCCGTGATTACGGGTTTGGGGTGACAACCCGGGCTGGTGCAGGTCGTGCAGCCTGTGCAAAGAGGCATAGGGGACGGAAGGGGATGGAAGGAAGGGGACGGATGAGATAGGAGGAAGGGGACGGATGAGAAGGGAAGAAGGGGACGGATGAGATGGGAAGAAGGGGACGGATGAGATGGGAGGAAGGGGACGGATGAGATGGGAGGAAGGGGACGGATGAGATGGGAAGAGGGGGGAGGGATGAGATGGGAAGAAGGGGACGGATGAGATGGGAGGAAGGGGACGGATGAGATGGGAGGAAGGGGACGGATGAGATGGGAGGAATTCAGCAATGCTGGTGCCATAGCAAGATCTTGGTGCCACATAAGCAAAGTGTCGGTGCCATATTAGCAAGGTTTTGGTCCTAGGGATGACTTACCTGCACCCTGCTGACAAGGGTCTCCATGTCAGACGCGTCGATGTAGACGCCGTTGGGGAAGTTGAATGTGTTCGTGTTTTTGGCGTATGGGACACCATGGTCAATGACAGCGATCTCGACCTCCCGCTTCACACGGGTGCACATCTCCTCGTACTGGATCCGATTGTACTCCCACTTGCCACTCAACTTCCCATCAGGCGCGTTGTTGAGGATTGGCCACTCAAACTGTAGGAATGTGGTGGGTATGAGGTGGGAATGTAGTGGAATAAATGAACAGAAAAAGGTTAACACAACACTAAATCGCTCATCGCACACGTGGCAACAAACATAACACCTTGTCCATAAACTCACCGCATATAGGATCCAACCCAGCTGGCGGGTCTTAATCTTCTCAGAATTGACCCCACGACGCGCCAAAGCCAACTTGATGGACACCGAGAAGATGAGGCTGCCGAAAGGGATGAGGAGCTCCCGATGCCATGCCAGCCCCCTCTCCCCTGAAATGGGATTGCATGGTCATAGGAGACAAAGGGATGAAAGGTGGTGACATGATGGTGACTAGAGGGCAACCGAAATGGGCAACGTGGAACAAAGTAGTGCTTATAGAAATTATTGGTACACACATAACAACAACTACGGGATCAAAAGCTTCATACAAACTCACCATCCTTGTAACGTGCAATGAGCTCCTCATCCGTGTAGAACTCGAGTGGGGCAAGCAGATCTGCTGGTAACCTCCCCAAGTAGCACTTGTTCGCCTGCCGACCCAACGCCGTGAGTGCCACCTTTCTCATCCAGCCGTTGATAGAAGTCCTAGTTGAGGACAGCTGCTCGAAAAAGACCCCTCTGGTGCTGGCATCGTTGTGCTGAAAGAGCGCACGCAACGAGGCCAGAACCTGTGGCGACACAAACTCGCTAAACCCATGATCTAAGGCCTCTTCCGCAGATGGGTAGAACTGAATCATTGAAGCTTCAATGTTGAAGCAAAGATGTGTTGCTACACGCCTAGACAATTCCTGTAGATTGGAGGGGGATAGGGGAGGTGACAGATATGGAAGGCACGCGGTAAGGGTTTGCAAGTGGCTATTCGGGTTGAGGGTAGAGGGCAGGGAAGCAAGTGGGGAAGCAAGTGGGGTTTCGGGTTGATGGTAGAGGGGGCAGACAGAGCATAAGTCATAGTTTAGGTAAAGCCTCACCTCCCTAAACCTGGATGGGAAGCAAGTGGGGTTTCGGGTTGAGGGGAGAGTGGGCAGGCAAGCAGAGGGGAGTTGGGGTTTAGATAAAGCCTCACCTCCCTAGGCCTGTATTTAGGGTAGCAGGTGGGGTTTCGGGTTGAGGGGAGAGTGGGCAGGCAAGCAAGAGGGGAGTTGGGGTTTAGATAAAGCCTCACCTCCCTAGGCCTGTATTTAGGGTAGCAGGTGGGGTTTCGGGTTGAGGGGAGAGTGGGCAGGCAAGCAAGAGGGGAGTTGGGGTTAAGGTAAAGCCTCACCTCCCTATGCCTGGATGGGGAAGCAAGTGGGGTTTGGGGTTGAGGGGAGAGTGGGGAGGCAAGCAAAGGGGAGTTGGGGTTTAGGTAAAGCCTCACCTCCCTATGCCTGGATGGGGAAGCAAGCGGGGTTTGGGGTTGAGGGGAGAGTGGGCAGGCAAGCAGAGGGGAGTTGGGGTTTAGATAGAGCCTCATCTCCCTAGGCCTGTATTTAGGGTAGCAGGTGGGGTTTCGGGTTGAGGGGAGAGTGGGCAGGCAAGCAAGAGGGGAGTTGGGGTTTAGATAAAGCCCCCCTTCCCTAGGCCTGTATTTAGGGTAGCAGGTGGGGTTTAGGGTTGAGGGGAGAGTGGGCAGGCAGGTAGAGGGGAGTTGGGGTTAAGGTAAAGCCTCACCCCCCTAGGCTTGGATGGGGAAGCAAGTGGGGTTTGGGGTTGAGGAGAGAGTGGGCAGGCAAGCAGAGGGGAGTTGGGGTTTAGGTAAAGCATCACCTCCCTAAACCTGGATGGGAAGCAAGTGGGGTTTAGGGTTGAGGGGAGAGTGGGCAGGCAAGCATAGGGGAGTTGGGGTTTAGATAAAGCCTCACCTCCCTAGGCCTGGATTTAGGGTAGCAGGTGGGGTTTCGGGTTGAGGGCAGAGTGGGCAGGCAGGTAGAGGGGAGTTGGGGTTTAGGTAAAGCCTCACCTCCCTATGCCTGGATGGGGAAGCAAGCGGGGTTTGGGGTTGAGGGGAGAGTGGGCAGGCAAGCAGAGGGGAGTTGGGGTTTAGGTAAAGCCTCACCTCCCTATGCCTGGAAGGGGAAGCAAGTGGGGTTTGGGGTTGAGGGGAGAGTGGGCAGGCAAGCAGAGGGGAGTTGGGGTTTAGGTAAAGCCTCACCTCCCTATGCCTGGAAGGGGAAGCAAGTGGGGTTTGGGGTTGAGGGGAGAGTGGGCAGGCAAGCAGAGGGGAGTTGGGGTTTAGGTAAAGCATCACCTCCCTAAACCTGGATGGGAAGCAAGTGGGGTTTCGAGTTGAGGGGAGAGTGGGCAGGCAAGCAGAGGGGAGTTGGGGTTTAGATAAAGCCTCACCTCCTTAAACCTAGATGGGAAGCAAGTGGGGTTTAGGGTTGAGGGGAGAGTGGGCAGGCAGGTAGAGGGGAGTTGGGGTTAAGGTAAAGCCTCACCCCCCTAGGCTTGGATGGGGAAGCAAGTCAGGTTTGGGGTTGAGGGGAGAGTGGGCAGGCAAGCAGAGGGGAGTTGGGGTTTAGGTAAAGCATCACCTCCCTAAACCTGGATGGGAAGCAAGTGGGGTTTAGAGTTGAGGGCAGAGTGGGCAGGCAAGCATAGGGGAGTTGGGGTTTAGATAAAGCCTCACCTCCCTAGGCCTGGATTTAGGGTAGCAGGTGGGGTTTCGGGTTGAGGGCAGAGTGGGCAGGCAGGTAGAGGGGAGTTGGGGTTTAGGTAAAGCCTCACCTCCCTATGCCTGGATGGGGAAGCAAGCGGGGTTTGGGTTTGAGGGGAGAGTGGGCAGGCAAGCAGAGGGGAGTTGGGGTTTAGATAAAGCCTCACCTCCCTAGGCCTGTATTTAGGGTAGCAGGTGTGGTTTCGGGTTGAGGGGAGAGTGGGCAGGCAAGCAGAGGGGAGTTGGGGTTTAGGTAAAGCCTCACCACCCTATGCCTGTATGGGGAAGCAAGCGGGGTTTGGGGTTGAGGGGAGAGTGGGCAGGCAAGCAGAGGGGAGTTGGGGTTTACATAAAGCCTCACCTCCCTAGGCCTGGGTGGGGAAGCAAGCGGGGTTTAATGTTGTGGTTAGGAGGTGCCTGGATGGCACAGAATGTGTTAGTGTTAAGGAAAAGCTTCAACTCTCTTGTTCCAAGCAGGGGAAGCAAATGGGGCTTATGATTGAGGGGAGAGGGGGCAGACAGGTCGAGCAACAATCTAGGAAACGCACACACAGTGTATCACAGGGAACGCACCTTGAAGTCGACTACCGCTTTGTACACGATTTCGCGATGGTTTGCTAGGGGACTATTGCTGGAGGGAAGGCCTTCCGACGAGCTGGTGCTCGGGCCAGAATGAGGAGGAGTTGCTGCAGGCGCTCCGATTGGGACGGATGGACCAGCACCCCGAAGTATGGCCGACAGCATCTCGGCGAACCTTGCCATCACGCGTCGCTCGAATTGGTCAAGCTCCACGTTTGATACACCACCATGCTCCTGGCGGCGATCACAGGATGCCGCCACAAACGGGGTTTTCTTGACAGGGACGAGTTCATAGCGCTTGGTGGCTTCAGTGATCACCTTCACCGGTGGTGCAGCTCCAGAGTACTGATTGGGAGCTGTTGATTGTATACGGGACGGAAGAGATGGAGGAAAGGTGACTGAGAGACGGGTCAGAGGTGACGGCAGGGATGGGTTGAAGGGGACGGCAGGGATGGGATGATGGGGACGGCAGGGATGGGATGAATGTGACGGCAGGGATGGGATGAAGGTGACGGCAGGGATGGGATGAAGGTGACGGCAGGGATGGGATGAAGGGGACGGCAGGGATGGGATGAAGGTGACGGCAGGGATGGGATGACGGTGACGGCATGGATGGGAGGAAAGCGACGGCAGGGAAGGATGGAAAGCGACGTGACATCAGCAAGCATGCCACGAATAAAAAGTGGTACCATCCCGCAGTGCTATACAATGCGGCAAAAGTCTGACCTTTGGTTTTTGTGTTGGCCTCCTTAGAGGTCGGTTTAGCCCCAGCGCCTGCCTTGGCCTTTACGCCGCTGGTCCCAGCGCCTGCCTTGGCCTTTACCCCGCTGGTCCCAGCGCCTGCCTTGGCCTTTACCCCGCTTGCCCCAGCGCCTGCCTTGGCCTTTACCCCGCTTGCCCCAGCGCCTGCCTTGGCCTTTCCCCCGCTGGTCCCAGCGCCTGCTGCCGTAGGAGTTGACTTCGGTTTGGCCGACACTTCACCGGTGTTCTGCTTTTTCTGCGCACCGCCAACCACCAAGGCGAACTCCCGTTTCGACTTCCCACCGAGAATACTATCGGTCGCCAGAACTTTATCCTTTCCCTTAGCCGATGTGACTGCATCTTTCCCTCGCGGTGGCTTAGCAGGAACCTTAGAGGGTTCTGAACGCGGAAGACGTTTCACACCCTTTCTAGCAGGCTTCGAGCTGACAACGGGTTCCTTGATCTCATCGAGTGCCTTCAGCTTCCCAAGCAGCATAGCACGTTCCTCAGCCACAGCCTCATCCTCCATGTCTTCGTCATCAGCGTCACCCTGCTCTTCCAGCATCTCGTCAAAGCTACCCTTTCTTGTGATTTGAGGCTTGTGCGCATCCGCACCTTCCCCCACTTCCGCCGAATCGCCTTTCTCACTTCCCTTCTCAGCCTCGTCCTCATCCCCCTGCCCTTCCTCAGACTCCTCGTCCTCCTCTTCCTCCACCTCGTCATCCTGCTCTTCCTCCGCCTCATCATCCTCCTCTTCCTCCGCCTCGTCACCCTCCTCTTCCTCTGCCTCGTCACCCTCCTCTTCCTCCGCCTCGTCACCCTCCTCTTCCTCCGCCTCGTCACCCTCCTCTTCATCCGCCTTCTCTTCAGCATCGTCCTCCGCCAAGTCTTCCTCTTCCGGCTCGTCGCCGGCCTCGTCTACTGCCTCGTCCACCTCGTTTTCGCCCACGTCACCCGACTTGCCGTTGGCCTCAGCTTCGTCCTCGTGTTTCTGGTTGTCCACATCCTCGCCATCAAGGTTGTTCCCGACATACTTAACAGGATCAGCACCTTCTTCGGTAGCATCCGCCCCTTCCTCAAACCACACTTTCGCCTTTCGAGGGCGGCTGGACTTGCGAACCTCGCCACCAGGAGGGCCGTCACCGCTAGATGTCCGGGGTTTGGGTGCAGCCTCCGTGCTCTTCTTCTTCGTACCATTCTGCACCTTGCCTGGACTTTGCACGGGGCCACCCGTGGCTGTGTTTTTCTTGGTCACCGCCTTCGAGACCTGCAGTTTAGTCGACATGTTGCGCAATAGCCCCGGGAAAGATGATAGGACGTTAGAAATCCGGAACTGCAGGGACTAATTGTAGCGGAAGAGGGGATCGGTACTTACTACGTTTATAATGGACCGTTTTATATCAGGATATGTATCGCTTAAACGACCAAGGAACTCGATGAAGAGACGTACCTTTGAGCGATTCGGTCGCGGTCACGATACGGGTCGCCAAGTAGCACGATTCCGGAACGGCTACACTCATGAAGGGTCGACGCGGCACGCTAACGATGGGGTGGTGGATGGCGTGAGCGGCGCCGCGAGTTGCCATGAATGGAGGCGGTGGTGAGTGAGATTATGGAGCTCTCACGGTACTGTCACGGCTGAGGGTAAGACAGTGAGATGCACATCGATACGTGCAACTATGCGCGGCCGTCTATGCGGACCGACGGTAAGATAATGAGAGCGCGACGTCGCGGATATTAGGCACTGAAAACCTGCGCCGTGTTGCTGATTGAGGGGAGCATGAGTAAGTCGCTGAAAAAAGAGGGGGGAAAGGTGACCGGACCTAAGCCAACGGGAAGGAGTTGGTGTTCCTGCGTCGTGACTGCTATCACGAGCGGTAGCTTGAGACCACAGCATCGTGTGACACGATGCTCGCTGAGACTCTGCCAGGCGTTACCGTGGGCTGTGCAACGAGGTTCACGCGCTCATGTTGGTTTTGTACAAGACGACAAGTGCGACCTTGCCCACCTGACAGCATTGCGGTTTACAGCGTGGCAATTCCACACTGTTTAGTTCTGTTGTTTTCGAATCTTGTAGAATATTTTGCCACGGAATTTTTATTTGTTACAGTAGGAGCGTTTGGGAGTCCGTCTCGCCAACATTGTAGTATTAGGTGAGTAACAACGGTTGAGTATGAGGATCCTAGTTAGGCCCTGTTTTAGTTAAGTCGAGTGTTTCACGCTGTTTCGAGTGATGCCTTGTTTCGGGTGTTTCGAGTACTGGCATGTCCTCCGAATGAAAAAAAAAAAAAGCCACGACAATAAAATAAGGATAGACTGAGTGTGGTGAAGCAGGTTCACCGTACTGTACGGTTGCACCAGGCTTGGCACATTTATTCGCGCAGCCCGTAGCACCTCCAAAATATCGAGCTTAGACGGAAGTCATCGGTTGGATGAACAAATGGCTGCTTCCCGGCCCCACCGAAACTTAGCGCTATACGTGCAACATCCGCGTTTTTCACTGGGTAAAATTTTACAGACAACATTAGATGGAAACGACTACCAACTGGCCACGTGGGAAGTTTCGCCAACTTCACAAAACTCCAAATGCGTTGCAGTTGTCCTTGTCTTGTTTCTGTCGAAAGCTCCCGTGGCGTTTTCGCCACACCATTTTGCTGCCCAACACGCGATGATTCTTCGCATGCCCCAAGTACAGTATTCATAAGAGTGGCTGAGGCTGCCGCAGTAGTCGCAGTGCTCAGTTAAAATATCGCTGGAACACAACATCTACGCTAGCTACAGGTGGTCATAAGGCAGTCTTGTCATTTTAAACAACAACAAACAAAACCAGTTGGCAACGGGTGACTGTGAACACTTTGAGGTAAAACCAAAGCACCAATCAAAACGAGACTGCTCTGACAGGCAGCATAGTTCATACCATCATCCTTCCAAGTGGGTTCGATAGAAATGATACATTATGGGATCATTCTACAGAGACACTACACTCTCAAGTAGCCAAGGGACCATTCATAAAATGGCATAGTCTTAGATGTAACTAAAGGATGGATATGTTGAAGGTTCTTTCGTCACGGTCTGCATCGCGACGTCCCTGACAGCAATGTTTGGATTCTAGGGTAAGTGATATGTAATAGAGAGGGGGAATGACTCTGTAACCATGATTTCCTACCCTATACATTTTGGACAGAGCGCATTCTTTGTGGAGTGAATTTAAGTAGTGTTGTGAACCTTCCATTCCATTTTCAGCTCCTACGGAGCACTCTAGGTGGGTTGGTTGGATGATGAGCTAGTGTAGCTAATGATGCTACCGAATGCTGTTCTGTACAAGTTCTGGGCAGGCTTATGGGGAAATGCGCCGATTGATAGCCTAGACATTTTGGATTGGGATGCACTCCTGGGAGGATCTTAGTAATGGTATCATGATCCTCCCATCCCAAAATGGGCCTCGTCGGAGCACGTTTGGTTGGTCGTTCGACAAACGTGCTACCGAATGCTGTTCTGTACAAGTTCTGGGCAGGCTTATGGGGAAATGCGCCGATTGATAGCCTAGACATTTTGGATTGGGATGCACTCCTGGGAGGATCTTATTAATGGCATCATGATGCTCCCTTCCTAAAATGGGCCTCGTCGGAGCACGTTTGCTTGGTCGTTCGACAAACGTGCTACCGAATGCTGTTCTGTACAAGTTCTGGGCAGGCTTATGGGGAAATGCGCCGATTGATAGCCTAGACATTTTGGATTGGGATGCACTCCTGGGAGGATCTTAGTAATGGTATCATGATCCTCCCATCCCAAAATGGGCCTCGTCGGAGCACGTTTGGTTGGTCGTTCGACAAACGTGCTACCGAATGCTGTTCTGTACAAGTTCTGGGCAGGCTTATGGGGAAATGCGCCGATTGATAGCCTAGACATTTTGGATTGAGATGCACTCCTGGGAGGATCTTAGTAATGGTATTATGATCCTCCCATCCCAAAATGGGCCTCGTCGGAGCACGTTTGGTTGGTCGTTCGACAAACGTGCTACCGAATGCTGTTCTGTACAAGTTCTGGGCAGGCTTATGGGGAAATGCGCCGATTGATAGCCTAGACATTTTGGATTGGGATGCACTCCTGGGAGGATCTTAGTAATGGTATCATGATCCTCCCATCCCCCTACGTTGACGCGGTTCCCCCTACGGGGCGAACATCGTCAGTGGCATGTGGATCTTCAGGGTGAAGCGGCCGCCGGGCTCTCCACCTGTCTTCAAGGCACGGTACGTCGCTCGTGGCTTCAGTCAGCGGCAGGGAGTTGACTACTTTCAGACCTTCTCTCCCACCCCGAAGATGACTACTCTTCGGGTGCTGCTGCACATAGCCGCTCAGCGCGACTACGAGCTTCACTCTCTCGACTTCAGCACTGCGTTCTTGCAGGGTAGCCTGCACGAGGAGATCTGGCTTCGCCGTCCACCTGGCTTCACTGGGACTTTCCCTCCTTGCACCCAGTGGAGCCTCCGACGGCCAGTCTACGGTCTCCGCCAGGCACCGCGTGAGTGGCACGACACACTGAGGACTACGCTTGCGGCCCTTGGGTTTGCTCCTTCTACTGCTGACCCGTCGCTGTTTCTTCGCACCGACACTTCCCTGCCGCCGTTCTACATCCTCGTGTACGTTGACGACTTGGTCTTTGCCATAGCGGACACTGCTGGACTCGCCTACGTGAAGTCCGAGCTGCTGAAGAGACACACGTGCACAGACCTGGGTGAACTGCGCAGCTACCTTGGCTTGCAGATCACTCGGGACAGAGCACGCCGCACCATTACCTTGACTCAGTCACACATGGTGCAGCAGGTCCTTCAGCGCTTCGGCTTCACGTACTCCTCGCCTCAGGCCACTCCTCTGCCTACTCGCCACTCACTCTCAGCTCTGCCTTCGGATGAGTCCGTAGAGTCGAGTGGTCCGTATGCAGAGCTTGTTGGCTGCCTCATGTACCTGATGACCTGCACACGACCTGACCTTGCATACCCTCTGAGCATTCTTGCACGCTATGTTGCTCCTGGGAGACACCGACCAGAGCACATGGCTGCAGCGAAGAGGGTATTGCGCTACCTGTGCAGTACGTCGGGCATGGGGCTAGTGCTTGGAGGGCGGAGTCCAGTGGTCCTTACCGGCCACGCGGACGCTTCTTGGGCTGACGACCAGGCTACGCAGCGGTCGTCACAGGGTTACACCTTCAGCCTTGGTTCCGGCTCTGTCTCGTGGCGGTCTACTCGCTCGTCTTCGGTTCTCGGCTCCAGTTGTGAGGCTGAGATCTACGCCGGGGCCATGGCTGCACAGGAGCTTCGCTGGCTCACCTACCTGCTGACTGACCTTGGAGAGCCGCCTCGTTCTCCTCCAGTGCTGTACGTAGACAACAAGGCCATGCTGGCCTTGTGTCGAGAGCAGCGCTTGGAGCACAGAACGAAGCACATTGCTCTCCGCTACTTCCTTGCTCGTGAGCTGCAGCAGCGTGGTCAGTTGCGACTTGCGTACGTGGCCTCTGAGGCCAACACTGCTGATGTGTTCACCAAGGCACTCGCGCCTTGTGACCATCAGCGCTTTTGCACCCAGCTGGGTCTTGTGCCTGTCTTGCCTCACTTGCTCTCCTCTTGACTTTACTTGTACTGTGACATATATATACCTGCTCTTGCTTGTCTAGTTTTATATATATATGTCTGTACTCCTGCATGTGAACTGGCCTCTGGCCCTGCTCTTGTGCTCGGACTGTGTGGTGACTTTGTGATCCACCCTGAGCTTGCTCTGCTTTGCTTTACTTGACTGGTCTTGTGACCCCTTGTTCTCCCCCACTTTGCCTATGGGGGTGTGTCAGATTTATATGACATATTTGCTGTAGGCTATAGTGGGGTAGCACATATGGGGTACAGGGTTTCTAGGGTTGTATTTGTACCCAATCTTTCCTTAGTCATTTCATTCCTGTTCATTCTTTTCACACGTCATATGGGGCAAGGCCAGATCTCCTATCCTATAACATATTAGTCCAATAGTCAGTAGTCAGTAGGGTCGGTTAAATGAAACCATGGTTACATAATTTTTTATAGTGGGTTCAGTTAATATCATTGTTCAAATCTATGAATGGCACATTTTGTTATGCATACGTCTTATCATTTGTGTGCACAGTGTTGTGTCTAAATCGTGAATAGCATTGCAGTCGACTTTCGAAAGTTTGAAGTCGTGGTATGAGGCACAGGGAATCAGGCGCTGCACGCACACACCAACCCTATCCTGAAGGCTGCAAACCCTAATTTCGTCAAGGTTCCCGATCCGCCTCCTCGCGATTCGTGTATTGCACCTCATATCGTGCCCCCAGGTCGCGCCGTCAGCGACTCGTCGTAATCACATGGCTGTCGTGCCTTTGGGTAGCTCGCACTGTAGCGTTATTCCCCGTCACGATGTCCATCCGCTACCTTATATTGAATGGCCTTCTCGCTATTCATCGACTCTTTGTAGCGGGTGCATATTTAAACGCCACGGCGATATGCAGAGGCAAAGGAACGACGGACTAATGTCGCGCTGCCATGGATCGTTCTAGTCCTGTTCGGTGTGCACACTGTGGACGAGAGTTTTCAGACTGTTTCGTCCTAGGAAGGCACCGGGCTGGCAACACACCCTGCAACCCCAACTCTGCAGAGCATCGCGCAGGCAGTGGTCATAGGCGCCCTAACATAGCATACATTGTGCCTGCAGCGCTCCCGCACTTCGTCAGACATGGCAGTTCCGCGTCTCAAGATGCAACTCAAGAGACACTGCCAACATCGTCTAGTGGCGTGGGCTGTGAGAGTCGTGTTGATCCTGAAGGATCTTCTCCACACCCCTCAACGCCCCAGTCGTCCAGCCAAGGGGCGGAGCAGCCCCCAACCACATGTCCAGATAATCCTGGATTCGGTTCTGCTGCCAGGCCTTCGTTTCCCGATGGCAGCGACATCCATCCCGCTTTGATACACCTGTTGGAGCAACTCGATTCGCTGAATGGCGGCATGGGCTTATCGAACATGGATACTAACAAGGTGCTGCAGCTAATTATCCATCCAGAGTTGGCCCCGCTGCTGGTAGAGGGGAATGTCCGTAGCTTCCGTGATGTGGAGATGCTACAGAAGGAATATCTGGCTGACACGGGACGTGGATTCGAGTCGACCACATTTTATGTGGAGGGCTTTCCACCGCAAGTGATGCTTCACCGCGATCCACTGAGGGTGAGTTTGCTGACGTAGTTTCGGGTACCCGGGATGAAACTGAAGGGCATTGGCTTGACTACATGTCCTGCGGCATCATGCGTCACTCTCATATTGTGTAGGGTGCTAACCGGCCTATGTACGTGCTGTATATGATATTGCAGGCCCTGGCGGATATGTTTAGGCACAAGCACAATGCGCCTGGCTTCAGAATGGGACCGAGGAGAGACAAGGACAGCGAGAGTGGGCATCGGGCATATTCCACTGCAGAAACCGGCACATGGTGGCAAGAAGCACAGGTGAGGGCTATTGATAGCTTTTTGCAGTTGCGAGAGATGGTGAGTGATGGGACGGGAGGTGCAGAGATTGTGAGTGCAAGGTGATGGGTAGTTTACACTCCCCTCACATCACTCGCACCTTGCATATGTTACACACCTACCACTCACCATGCATGGTCCCAGCTTTCAGCTGTTGTGCCCTTTTCGAGTCAGCAATGTTTACCGCGCAGAGACATTGCCTTTCCCCTCGACCCAATCTATCCATTCTTTGCGTTATGTGCAGGAATTCATTGGCATGGACAAGATCGTTGCGGCGCTGATACTGTACAGTGACGTCACGCACTTGAGCAACAACGGGAGGAAGAAGGCGCACCCGGTCATGATGACACTGGGGAATATTGCATTCCCCAAACGCTGGGGCCGGCCCGGGCACTCCCTGTTGGCGCTGTTACCCATCCCACCCTCGAACATGCCGTCGCACTTGAAGGTGGAGCTCTACAACGCGTGTATTGCTAAGCTACTTGAGCCACTTCTCTGCCTTAAAGACAAGTGAGTGGTGCAAATGCTGGTGTGTACCGAATCTTTATCTTATTGGTGAGTCATGCCCCATAAAAGGAGTGCGGTGCTTGGAAGTAATGAATATTGTTAACCAGCCTGTGTTTCCACCCTGTTTCATGGCTGCTCGAAAACTGTGCAGTGGTGTCATGCTGCTGGACTCAGAGGGCATCGAGCGATGGGTCGTTCCTTTGCTGTACGCTTGGGCTTGTGACTATCCCGAGTCCGGGAAACTGACATGCACCAAATCTGGCCAGGGCTGCATGAAGCCGTGCAGCCTCTGCTATGTCGACAGGGTACGTCAACATGTACACTCGGGGTGGGGATGTGCTGGGATGGGAGGTGCTGGAATGGGGATGGCAAGGATGGGCGGTGGTGGGATGGGGAGTGCTGGGAGGGGGGGGGGGTGCTGGGATGGTGAGTGCTGGGATGGTGAGTGATGGGATGGTGAGTGATGGGAGGGTGAGTGCTGGGATGGTGAGTGCTGGGATGGTGAGTGCTGGGATGGTGAGTGATGGGATGGTGAGTGATGGGATGGTGAGTGCTGGGATGGTGAGTGATGGGATGGTGAGTGATGGGATGGTGAGTGCTGGGATGGTGAGTGCTGGGATGGTGAGTGCTGGGATGGTGAGTGCTGGGATGGTGAGTGATAGGGATGGTGAGTGCTGGGATGGTGAGTGATGGGATGGTGAGTGATGGGATGGTGAGTGCTGGGATGGTGAGTGCTGGGATGGTGAGTGCTGGGATGGTGAGTGATGGGATGGTGAGTGATGGGAGGGTGAGTGCTGGGATGGTGAGTGCTGGGATGGTGAGTGCTGGGATGGTGAGTGATGGGATGGTGAGTGATGGGATGGTGAGTGCTGGGATGGTGAGTGATGGGATGGTGAGTGATGGGATGGTGAGTGCTGGGATGGTGAGTGCTGGGATGGTGAGTGCTGGGATGGTGAGTGCTGGGATGGTGAGTGATATGGATGGTGAGTGCTGGGATGGTGAGTGATGGGATGGTGAGTGATGGGATGGTGAGTGCTGGGATGGTGAGTGCTGGGATGGTGAGTGCTGGGATGGTGAGTGCTGGGATGGTGAGTGATAGGGATGGTGAGTGCTGGGATGGTGAGTGCTGGGATGGTGAGTGATAGGGATGGTGAGTGCTGGGATGGTGAGTGCTGGGATGGTGAGTGCTGGGATGGTGAGTGCTGGGATGGTGAGTGCTGGGATGGTGAGTGCTGGGATGGTGAGTGCTGGGATGGTAAGTGCTGGGATGGTGAGTGCTGGGATGGTAAGTGCTGGGATGGTGAGCAGCCCCCAACCACATGTCCACATGTCTGTGTATGTGTGTGTCTAATGGTCTCTCTTGCTCGTCCCCTTTATGCTAAAAATTCCAACGCCCACCACAGGAAAGCCTGTCATCTGTGGAGCTACTCAACAACGTTCGCACACCCGCACAACAGCAGTGGGTTAGAGACGAGGCAGCTGGAGTCGCTGCCGGAGCGGATGACAATCCGCTGAAGTTGTACTCAACGTTCGACATCGACGTATGTATTTGATGCCAGCTCGTAGGCTCATAGACACAGCAACCTCTGGTGTCTATTGGTGTCAAGTGTTTCCCTAACCATCGCATTCCCTGCTGCGCTGTACCACAAGCACAGTGTGCTTTATGGAAGTGGCAGGTTGGATCATTGCCGTGGGGAAATCCTTTTCTCGCTGTCATGGCGGACATCATGCACCAGGCAGACCTGGGGATGCTGGACCACATCGTGGTGTGCATCCGCGCCCAACACCCAACGATGATGAAGATTCTGGATTTGTGAGTACCCCTTGGACCACCCGCCTGGAGATGCCCCTTCAAGAAGCCATCGTTACAATGTTGGCATGTCAAGCCTACATTTGTGAGCACATGGTAGTGTGTCAGCTCAACTTTATTCCATCCTGATCTGCCGCCCCCCATATCCGAAATCTTTCCATCCCACCATACGCAGGCGCCTTCTACGGCTCACCCTGAAAACACGGATCAACTCTTTGCGTTTTCCGAGGAGCGAATACTTCAAAACCGGGGCACAAGTCGCAGCTTTTGAACATCGATCGGTCATGCAGGTATGATGCTTAGAGGCCTTGCAGACCATGGAGAGGTGGAAGGGGGAGGGTGGGAACAGTGGGCCGAGCTGGGCAGGGACGGAAGAGGAAGGGGAGAGAAGATGGGCTGGTGGAGAAGGCACTGCTGTAAACTCGCTTGAAGTCATTCATGGGAAGAAGCTCCTTCAATCTTTTCTCTCACCTTTCCTACACACCATGCTGCATGCATCCAGGTGTTGATCTTTTTGGTGGCTGACGTTGTCGGCTCGCCCCAGCTGGAGGCCATCAGAGCATACCTTGACTGGTATCTCTGCTGCAACGCCGCCTCTCACACCGAGAGAAGTCTTTCCGAACTACAAGCCAAATCAACAAGGTACCTCACCAAACGAAACAACCTAAACCATCTAACTCCCCTAGTGATTCCATCCCTTACAAATTGAACGCTTATCCATATACTCCTTCATTTATTCATGCTCCCACCCATCCCAGGCTGGTGAAACTACTCACGGCTGCCTTCCCCGAGCAGAAATCAAGGTGGAACCTCATCAAAACACACTTGATGACTCATTTCATCCCTGGCATTCGACGAGCTGGGAATGTGCAAGAGTACAGCACCAACCTCTTCGAACACCTGCATAGCACCCTGCTGAAGCAAATCTACAGGAGATCGAATAAGCGGAAAGTGGACACGCAGATCATGAAGCACCACGAGATGAAGCTTGACTCCATCAGCAACGTGGCCACCGACCAAGGCGTGCAAACGGCTATGCAAAAGGTAGGTGCTGTGAGGGGAGGCGCTGAGATGGTGAGTGCGATGAGGGGAGGTGCTGAGATGGTGAGTGCGGTGAGGGGAGGTGCCGAGATGGTGAGTGATGTGAGGGGAGGTGCTGAGATGGTGAGTGCTGTGAGGGGAGGCGCTGAGATGGTGAGTGCTGTGAGGGGAGGTGCTGAGATGGTGAGTGCTGTGAGGGGAGGTGCTGAGATGGTGAGTGCTGTGAGGGGAGGCACTGAGATGGTGAGTGCTGTGAGGGGAGGTGCTGAGATGGTGAGTGCTGTGAGGGGAGGTGCTGAGATGGTGAGTGCTGTGAGAGGAGGTGCTGAGATGGTGAGTGCTGTGAGGGGAGGCGCTGAGATGGTGAGTGCTGTGTGGGGAGGTGCTGAGATGGTGAGTGCTGTGAGGGGAGGCGCTGAGATGGTGAGTGCTGTGAGGGGAGGTGCTGAGATGGTGAGTGCTGTGAGGGGAGGTGCTGAGATGGTGAGTGCTGTGAGGGGAGGCACTGAGATGGTGAGTGCTGTGAGGGGAGGTGCTGAGATGGTGAGTGCTGTGAGGGGAGGTGCTGAGATGGTGAGTTCTGTGAGAGGAGGTGCTGAGATGGTGAGTGCTGTGAGGGGAGGCGCTGAGATGGTGAGTGCTGTGTGGGGAGGTGCTGAGATGGTGAGTGCCGTGAGGGGAGGTGCTGAGATGGTGAGTGCTGTGAGGGGAGGCACTGAGATGGTGAGTGCTGTGAGGGGAGGTGCTGAGATGGTGAGTGCTGTGAGGGGAGGTGCTGAGATGGTGAGTGCTGTGAGGGGAGGTGCTGAGATGGTGAGTGCTGTGAGGGGAGGTGCTGAGATGGTGAGTGCGGTGAGGGGAGGTGCTGAGATAGTGAGTGCTGTGAGGGGAGGTGCTGAGATAGTGAGTGCTGTGAGGGGAGGTGCTGAGATGGTGAGTGCTGTGAGGGGAGGTGCTGAGATGGTGAGTGCTGTGAGGGGAGGTGCTGAGATGGTGAGTGCTGTGAGGGGAGGTGCTGAGATGGTGAGTGCTGTGAGGGGAGGTGCTGAGATGGTGAGTGCTGTGAGGGGAGGTGCTGAGATGGTGAGTGCTGTGAGAGGAGGTGCTGAGATGGTGAGTGCTGTGAGGGGAGGCGCTGAGATGGTGAGTGCTGTGTGGGGAGGTGCTGAGATGGTGAGTGCCGTGAGGGGAGGTGCTGAGATGGTGAGTGCTGTGAGGGGAGGCACTGAGATGGTGAGTGCTGTGAGGGGAGGTGCTGAGATGGTGAGTGCTGTGAGGGGAGGTGCTGAGATGGTGAGTGCTGTGAGGGGAGGTGCTGAGATGGTGAGTGCTGTGAGGGGAGGTGCTGAGATGGTGAGTGCTGTGAGGGGAGGTGCTGAGATGGTGAGTGCTGTGAGGGGAGGCGCTGAGATGGTGAGTGCTGTGAGGGGAGGTGCTGAGATGGTGAGTGCTGTGAGGGGAGGTGCTGAGATGGTGAGTGCTGTGAGAGGAGGTGCTGAGATGGTGAGTGCTGTGAGGGGAGGTGCTGAGATGGTGAGTGCTGTGAGGGGAGGTGCTGAGATGGTGAGTGCTGTGAGGGGAGGTGCTGAGATGGTGAGTGCTGTGAGGGGAGGCACTGAGATGGTGAGTGCTGTGAGGGGAGGTGCTGAGATGGTGAGTGCTGTGAGGGGAGGTGCTGAGATGGTGAGTGCGGTGAGGGGAGGTGCTGAGATGGTGAGTGCTGTGAGGGGAGGTGCTGAGATGGTGAGTGCTGTGAGGGGAGGTGCTGAGATGGTGAGTGCTGTGAGGGGAGGTGCTGAGATGGTGAGTGCTGTGAGGGGAGGCGCTGAGATGGTGAGTTCTGTGAGGGGAGGTGCTGAGATGGTGAGTGCTGTGAGGGGAGGTGCTGAGATGGTGAGTGCTGTGAGGGGAGGTGCTGAGATGGTGAGTGCTGTGAGGGGAGGTGCTGAGATGGTGATTGCTGTGAGGGGAGGTGCTGAGATGGTGAGTGCTGTGAGGGGAGGCGCTGAGATGGTGAGTGCTGTGAGGGAAGGTGCTGAGATGGTGAGTGCTGTGAGGGGAGGTGCTGAGATGGTGAGTGCTGTGAGGGGAGGTGCTGAGATGGTGAGTGCTGTGAGGGGAGGCGCTGAGATGGTGAGTGCTGTGAGGGGAGGTGCTGAGATGGTGAGTGCTGTGATGTGAGGGGAGGGTGAGTGCTGAGATGGGAGGGTGAGTGCTGAGATGGTGAGTGCGGTGATGGGAGGGTGAGTGCTGAGATGGTGAATGCGGTGAGTAGGAGTGCCTGGCGGGACAGCTCGGGCTGGGTGGCATGGAAAGTTTGCCGGCAGGTCCTTGGTGGGTAGCAGGGGAAGAGTTAGCTCAAGGCAGGGGAGGGGGCAGTGAAAGAGGAAGTGCAGGGCAGGGAGGGGAGCAAACGAAGGGGGAGAATGGTGTGCTTTTTTTCCAATCTCTGCCTTTTCTGACACGTGCCAGGCCATCGAGGATGGAGCTCGGGTGATGGTGAAGGAGTCCTACTTCTTCCACGTGAAACCCGATGACGTCACTCCCATTGCCAACTGGTTTGTCCGTGAGTGGGCGAAGCTCCACAGCGAGGCACACCATGCCTTTGCGGGTGCATTGCTTCGACGCCAGCTGAGGCCAACGAAAGTTCGTGTAAGTGGTGACAATGGTGACATGAAGCAGATACCATATGTAACTGAATGTTACTTTGTAATGATTTGTGTCTCTTACTGGTTGCAGGCTCACACAACACTTGCCATCCCTGCTGCAGAAGATGCGAGTTTCGCCCGTGTAGCACATTTCGTGAAAGCAACCCCGCTGTCTCACTCTAGGCCGTGGTTCTCTGATGTTGCCATCGTGGGAACAACAGCGACAGGTGAAGAGACGGAGTGGTACGGAAGGCTCTTGTTGATGTTCCATACGAAAGAGAGAGGGTGCACGAAGGAGTGGGCATATGTGAAGTACTGGTCAAGCGCAGGCGAGGATGCAAAAACAGGGTGCAAACGTCTTAGGTGGGCAACTGGGGTATCGCGCTACTCAGTGATTGACACTGAAAGCATACTGCGCCAGGTGCACATTATCAAGTCTTACCACTGCGAAAATGCATTCTATCTTAACAAGTACATGCTAAATTAGATATAAATCCTACGCGCATCTGTACTTTTTCATAGGCAACCAAACCTGTTTTGTATTAAGAGGCAAGATTACATGCAATAACAACTAATGACTGTACATGGTATATATGTACATGCACATGTGATTGTTTAACCAGCAGCCTTTCAATATTATAAGACATAACTTTGACTTGATGTAAAATTTGTTTTCAAGAAACACTGTAGGCTCATCTTGGTCCATAATTACTCCTATGCGAGACCATTTTTGCAGGGCCCAAACGCACCCTATCGCCACGTCTCGTCGTGCGCCAAGCAAAGCTGTGGCTCGGTGACCCAGAAATATTTGCGGGAAACCAATGCACCCCATTCTCGAAACTGCTTTTTCAACCTGGTCAAAAGAGCACTGTACACCTGACATTGACCGAAATTGGGCCAATTTCGGTTCGCCGAGGCGCACAATGTCTCGCGAGTCGGTTCGGATGCGCGAAAGCAGATCGAAATCTGAGAATGACACATTTACGCTGGTGGTTGGGCGAAAAAGGTTGGACAACCCACGCAACCCAACTTCCGAAACCAATTCGACCCGTTTCCAAGCGATTCAAAAACGAGGGGTTTTTGTGATGTACTTTTTCCTTCTTTTTCAAAAAGGACTAGGTCCCCCGTATACGTTTATTGCTGCTTTCGTGCAGTCGTTGTATCCACGTTACTACTTCAACCCTTTTCTGTGATTCATGTGATGCAGAGAACGACTGGAACCCACCGGACGAGTACCTCGCCAACACCGAGGGGAAAACCGTCCTCCTACCCGACGACACGGCCATCGTTTCCGCGGCACCTGACATGGTTACCACGTTCACGCGTTCCAAACTCACACGCGACGAGGTTACCCCGTACGGGAAGTGGATTCGCGCGAACATTCTGGACGGAGTGTACGAGGAGGATGACCTTAAATTCGCTAAAGGATTGAAGAACGGGAACGGTCACATAGTGGATACGGCGGAGGTTGTGGACTCCAAGACTGGAAAGAAGAAGGTGGCGATCGGGAAGGGCAAGGCAAAGATTAAGACTCCGACGATTTTCAGAGGGAAGCTGTTTATCATCCATGGCGTGGATGCCGTGCAGCCGAGGGAGTAGAGTTAGTAGGGTTTTGACTGTTTTGGCTTATGATAAAGCATCCTGAATAAGTTATCATCGCCAAACTTGCTTGTCCCGCTTTCGACTCGAAAGCTATTCGCCAGCATCTAGTTGGGTAAAACCACTCGCTAACGCTTACAAACCATTGGTTTTAGCCAGTGGTTTGCGATTTCGCAGGTTCGGAGGCGTTTTGTTTGCGTTTTGCCGAGCGCAAGTGCGACATTTGGCACGCGTCGTACCTGTTTCCGAGGCATGGGTGGCAAGAAATAGGTCGGGCCCAGGTTTGGGAGTGCCAGAGAATATTTCGGCCAGTCAAGCAGCTCCACGCTTGCACGATATGGTTGGTCGAAATTGGTCACAGCCACGCTGGTCTGTGAGGCCATTTATCTTCGATAAGTGGACCCGACGTGTAAATTTTGGTGCGAGATGAAATAGCTTTGTCTATATGAAGTGACATATCGTGTGGCAAGCATGGTAATGTTGTATGTTTTTTTTTGTGACAATAGATTTGTGACCAAATACAATGTACCGTTTAGTAGAGATGAATTGGTTGATGAATATAATAGTGGCGATAATCATTGCAGGTACAGCGGTAAATTTAGCATACTTGTAGCACTGCTTTATATATAACTTATAAGTCACTCGAATAGCATTTTGGTATACCCAAATGAAACACCCGAGTGAGCTTACTCACAAGGGCGTTGCCTTTAGAGGCGGTTGGCCCTTCTGCGGGAAGTGCCTTAGAATCTACGGCACATGTAGAGGGAGGATCAGGATCGGGTGGTCCTGGTCGTTTCAAATACTCTCGATGGACCCTCCCACACCTGACAGCCACCTGCCTGGCGCTCACATGCGGATTGGTTGCGCGTGGACCCAGGTGGTTGGTGCATACAAGGGGTGACGCAAAGTTTGCCTGCGCGAAACAGAAGAGGTGGGTTCGCGACCTGAAATTCATTCGCCGAAGACAAAAAGGGCGTGTCAGGTGTTTCCGCACAACGCCTCCATTTCGCGCGATTGTTCGCCGAGGCGCTGCTGTAATTTTTAGCGGATACGACGCGGAACCCTGGGCTGGGTGGGGTGTACACCCGACCTGTACAGGTGGGGCGGGAACTGACTGACGTGTCTAGCATCACGACAAGTTCCAGCTGGCGAGTAGCCCCGTCCGTCAACCCGTCGCTAGTGATAGCGACAACGACCCTTGCCAGCACAGAACGGGCCTGATTTTTTTACGAATGGCAATCGCGGCATTCGGTTCTGGACCAATGGGAACAAGACTCGTACCCTTGGTCGACCTTGCCCAGATCTCTCTTCGTGTGCGATTTCCGAACTGTGCGGTGGGGTACGGTTTATCATGTTTTTCACTGAATTGAGAACTACTCACAACACTTTGGCTGGGTTCAAAACTATAATGTTAGGTCCCAATTCCCTACCCCCATCCCCTCCCTCACCCTTTTCCCAACCAACCAGCCAGGGGGTACTCTTCCACGACTGGCCATTCTGTCATTCAGGAAAATTTGTCTACCATTTTTACTCTCTCAGACCGATAGTTTCCCTCCCAGCTTACTTAGTTTTTTCTGTTGGCCTGGTGGTGTGTTGTATCCTGCAACGATCGATCTGTTAGTCTCCAGGTATGTGACTGGCCCGGGTGGAATTGTTCATCTGTTACTTGTATTGTCTCCATTCACAACCCTTTGATCGTTTTTTTGTGTTCTCTGTGTTTCAAATCCACATAAACATTGCTTAATTTCGTATCACCTCTTTAGCGTGCTGGTTATTAACATCCTCGTTTTTGGAAAATCGTAAATTATGTTCAGGTGCACCCTTTGACTGAACTGTCTATGCATGTAAATAATTTCAAACTACTGTTTCGTGTCTGCAGGGTTGCTTTCGAAGAGATCCGCTGTTGTCCAAATATCTACTCCTACAGTTTCAGCCTGGTGAGGAAATGTTAGATGGTTGCACACCCAATCTGCAATCCGGTGTGACCGTTGTTTGTGTGGTTTCTGTATTGGTAACTTTCTATTCCTCATTGTTCTGTGGTCTAAGACGCTTTTGGCATGTTTTGTATGTGTTATGGTGTGCTCCTGCAGATCTGCAGAAGGCTGCTGAGAAGGGTCCCCTCTGCCAGGCCGCATCTGCATGTAGGGGCTGTAGTTAGAGTCACTGATAGTAGCTTGGAGTTGGTGTGCTGTACGAATCTTCTGTAATGCAGAAATTTGATTTGAGGAAAAACCCTGCAAGGCTTCCAGTATATTTTGCAGTATGGCGGATGACAACAGGCCATTCAAGTGTGACCTCTACCCCCAATGTGTAGCGACATTCTCGTATGCACATCAGAAAGCACGGCATATGAGGAAAGGACAGCACAAGAATAGGGTGGAAGAGGCAGCATCTGAAGGATTGCGTGATGATTCTAGCCAGGGAGGAGCAGTGGAAAGGTTACGAGCAGCTGCAAACCGTCTTCTTTCACGAGGCACCAAGCGCACACGCCTTGAAACGCAGCCAGGGCCGAGCCGCTTTGATGAGCAGCCTGACACGGCTGAGTTGAACGAGGACACCACAGGCTACGAGTTCGCCCCGGAGTGTGATGCTACAGCGGTTGACATTGATGCTCGGACGTACCGTTTCATTCGCACGGCAGCTGGAGGATCCGGCCTTTCACGCGTAGATATTATGGAGTTGATATCCATCCTCGTCGAGGTTCTGCGCAACCCAGGCCGGCTAACGCTCAAGTCTCTAGCAGACTTCGACAAGTACGAGGAGGCGAAGTTGGCAGGGGCCAACATTGAACCGTTTGAGCAGGTGGAACTCACAAAGCCGGGAGATCTGAAGCCCGTGATCCTGTGGCGGCGTTCGGCGCTCACGTGTGTCACCAGCTTGTACGAGAACGTGGCGAATGCGCATGGTTTCGTTGTGCGCCCTCCCAAGAACTTCAATCCGGCGAAACGGATTTACAAGGGTCCTGAGACGGGGAGTTGGTGGCGGGAGGTACTCCGTAAACTGCCAGCTACTGATCCAGGCAAGGCAGTCGCTGCAGTGATCATCTACTCGGACGAAACAACTCTCACGACTGATGGCGGACTCAAGGGTTGGCCCGTGTACATCTCGTTAGCCAACATTGCGCCAGGGAATCGATGGAAACCCCATGGGCATCGATTATGCGCTCTCCTACCCGATGATGACGGGAGCTTCTTCACGCACGCGGACAAGGAGCGGCGGCACCTTGAAGTATTCCAGGAGGCCTTGGATCTTATCATGGCGGATTTGAAGATTGCCCAGAACACGTAAGATCCTACCCTCCAAGCCCCCCCCCTCCCCTCCCTCTCTCTGCTTTTGGTTGTTTTGTCTACGTTTGTGAACTGTTGGATACTGTGCAAATGTGTTTATCGATTCTCTATTGTCTTGCATGCAGTGGCGTGGAACTGACAGATCCATACGGCATTCGTCGTATGGTCTTTCCGCTCACGTACGCTTACATTGGCGACTATCCGGAGCAGTGCAAAGTGGCAGGCACCAAGTCCGGCATCAAGACCCGTTTTCCATGCCCCAGGTGCACCGTTCCAAAGGAAGAGCTAAACAACATGGCGTTCCCGCTGGTGTATCGAACGGAAGCGTTACAAAAGGAGCGAGTCATGGAGATGGAACGCGAGACGAGGGTTACAGCACGCAACGACTTGACAAAGCGTTACAGTACACACTTCGTTAAGGTACTTTACACTTGTTGTTTGTCGCGAAGTCGTGCACTAATAATCATAACATGTTGACCTAGGGTTTTGCTAGATGCCCAAACTGATGTGTGTGCTTCTGTGTCTGTTTCTGCGTTTGTGTGTATGTATGTCTGTGTGTGTTAGTGTGCGCGCGTGTGTGTGTGCGTGCGTGTGTGTGTATGTGTGTGTGTGTGGGTGTGTGTGGGTGTGTGGGGTTTAGTATGGATGCGAGTGTGTGGATGTGTGTGTGGATGTGTGTGTGGATGTGTGTGTTGGTGTGCGCGGGTATGTGTAGGTGTGTGTGGGTATGTGTGGGTATCTGTGTGGGTGTGTGCGTACGTGTGTGTGTATGTATGTCTGTGTGTGTTAGTGTGCGTGCGTGTGTGTGTGTGCGTGCGTGTGTGTGTATGTGTGTGTATGTGTGTGGGTGTGTGGATGTGTCTGTGTGTGGGTGTGTGGGTGGGTGTGTGGGTGCGTGGATGTGTATGTGTGGGTGTGTGAGTGTGTGGGTGTGTGGGTGTGTGTGGGTGTGTGGGTGTGTGTGGGTGTGTGGGTGTGTGTCTGTGGGTGGGTGGGTGTGTGGGTGTGCGTATAGGTAGGTGTGTGGGTGTATGGGTGTGTGGGTGGGTGTGTGGGTGCGAGGATGTGTGTCTGTGAGTGTGTGAGTGTGTGTGTGTGTGGGTGTGTGGGTGGGCGTGTAGATGCGTGTGGGTGGGTGGGTGTGTAGGTGTGTGGGTGGGTGTGTGGATGCGTGTGTGGGGGTGTGTGGGTGTGTGGGTGCGTGGATGTGTGTGTGTGGATGTGTGGGTGTGTGTGGGTGTGTGTGTGTGTGGATGTGTGGGTGTGTGTGTGAGTAGGTGTGTGGATGTGTGGGTGTGTGGGTGGGTGTGTGTAAATGTGTGGATGGGTAGATGTGTGTGTGTGGATGTGTATGGGTCTATGTGAGTGTGTGGGTGCGTGCGTGCGTGCGCATCGCAGAGTGCTATATGGGGGCAACGCTTTGGCGACGAGGATTTCGGCAACCCGTACCGACAACTCACGTCCGACATCATGCACATGTCTCTCCTCGGCGTATACAAGCACATCCTGGAGGGTCTCAAGTCGAAGCTGAATGACTCCACCCTGCGGGAGCTCGATGCTTCTCTCGAGCGGATCACCAAGTACAGCAGGCAGTCTTTCTTTCGGATTCCTGCACACACAGCTGGCTATTTCAGCGGCCACAACACCTTCAAGGCCTTCCACCATCAAGCGGTGATGCAGGTGCTGCCAGTGCTTCTGGTGATGGCGAAGGTTGACGCACGGATTGTGGCATCTGCGGAGCTCTTCTGCACGTGGCACAGGGAGGCATGGCATCGCACGTACCAGACCGACGCCTCCTTGGCGAACCTTGACAACATGGCGAGCACGTGAGTACGATACACGATTGCTCGCATCCATGTGAATGCCATAATATAATTGTGTCGTTTGTCCGTTGTATCATTCCTTATCGATCTTCTGCATCGCTATGTACCGTGCCGTTGCATTACGTGCAGGCTTGTTCCGATGCTGATGAATGAGTTCACGGTGGATGATCAAGCATCGAACTTCAATGTCCCCAAGATTCACGCGATGCTTCACGTTAGTGACGACATCAGGCGTCGTGGCGTCCCGATTCACTACTGCACCGATGTCTACGAGCACGTGCACGTGGCCTTGATGAAGAGACCGTACAGAGCTTCTAACAAGAGGAACGCCGAAGCAACTATCACACGGCGTTGCCTGACATCAGAGCTGGTCGAGTGGATGACTGCGGCTGATGATGTTCCCGATGCGCACGCACGATCAGCCGCCCTTCAGCAGGTGTGTTGTTATTGAACACTGCAAGATGTAGATGTATTAGCTATCATCCTATCTCCTACTCAATACTATGCCTACAAGTGTTGCAGTCCCTCTTGTTGCATGTTTTTCTTAATTGTGTTTCCCGCTTTCTCCTTATATACTGTATTGTTTTTTGCCTGATGTGTCAACCTACATTCTTAAAACTACTGCAGGCCATAGAGACGGGAGTTGCTACTGTCACCGGGACGAGTGCAAGGTTTGTCTTGGGTGATGAGCGTGACAAGACCTTCAGGGCATACTCGCGGAGCGTCCCAGGAGACTTTGACCTTCTGGAGGACAGTATTGTGTCATACCTCACGGAAGAGCATGGCGCCAACGCGGTTCACTATGCTCGGATGGTAGATGTGCACACAGGTGTTGCGGTACCACCCGACGACGATTTTACAAGGTACAGCAGGTACCCACAGTATGCACGAGCGTCTCCGGCATTCCATGGTGGCCCTTGGTTTTCGGATGTGGATATTGAGGGAGAGGATGACGAGAAAAAGAAGGTGGTGTGGCATGCGAAGCTTTTCCTTATATTTACACTGAGATGGACGGTGTGTATTGCTGGCGCCGGTGACGAGGAAGATAGGGAGGAGCAGTGTTCGGAGCAGCTTGCATTTTGTCGCTATTACGGATCGCTCCCACAGTCAGAGACGATGGACATGAAGACCTTGAACTGGTGGCCATCTCGCCGCGGGTATGGGGTGTTGCCAGTTGAGAGCATCTTGCGTGTGCGTCACGTCGTCCCCAAAACTGTTGATCCTTCACATCCGATGGCAACGTTTGTGCTCAAACCACTTTAGATGGTAGAATATGATATTGTAAATATTTGATGTTGATATTGTAAATAATTATATGTGTGTATATAATGTTTTGACATTTTATGACAAAGCAAATGTTTTGAAAAGTTTCTGTTGGATAGTAAATTGCTCAAATTAAACATAAAACCTTAACATAGCGTCTCAGATTCACTGGTTTAAAATGTCTTGGATTGTCAGAATATTATCTTATTGTCCTAGCCTGTAGTGGGGTGCTCTATAGCGAGTACAACCCTTCTAGGGTTTGCTATTTGTATCCTCATTCTTGCTAGTTCAATCCTCTTTCTTCTTCTAATTTTGACATGCTATCAGAGCAGGTCGATCCCCTTGGATCGATCCTGTGGGTGTGTCCCCACCTTGCTTCCGCTGCTACCTTTCCTTCCCGCCGTGCGCCCCGAGGCGCGCGGCGATTTTTTTTCCTTCCCGCCGTGCGCCCCGAGGCGCGCGGCGGTTTTCTGCCCGCCGTGCGCCCTAGGGCGCGCGGCGGTTCTTTGCACGCTGTGCGCCCCGAGGCGTGCGGCGGGCGTCTGCTCTACGTCGCGGCCCCGCCCTACGTCGGGCTTCTCCCCTACGTCGCGGCCCCGCCCTTCGTCGCGGCCCCGCCCCTCGACGCGGCCCCGCCCTATGTCGCGGCCCCGCCCTGCGTCGCGGCCCCGCCCCTCGAAGCGGCCCTGCCCCGACCGTCGCGGCCCCGCCCCACCTTCGCGGGCGTCTGCCCTACGTCGCGGCCCCGCCCCGACCGACACGGCCCCGCCCACGTCGCGGCCCCGCCCTACAGTCGCGGCCCCGCCCTACAGTCGCGGCTCCGCCCTACGTCGCGGCCCCGCCCTGCGTCGCGGCCCCGTCCCTTCGAAGCGGCCCCGCCCCTTGTCGCGGCCCCGCTCTCCTCTCAGGTCCGTCGTGGGCCCCACTCTCCCCCCCCCCCCCCCCCCCCCCCCCCCCCCTCCCCCTACCATTTCCCGTCGTCCGTCGTGGCGACCTGAGGGGGCTGCTTGCTGTGGGGTGGCGGGTATGGGGGTGGCCGGTGTGCCTTCCTCCCTTTCTCCTCCTCCTCCTTCGTCTCCCACTGCTGCAGCTGTCGCTGAGGGGGGTGGTTGTGTGGGAGACTGGGTTTAGGGTTTTAGGGGGGTGCGTGGGAGTAGAGCTAGTGGTGTAGTAGTGGGTGTGTATCAGGGGGGTGGGACTGTGTGCGGGAGGATGAGCGGAGGTTGCCAGTTTGTCGTCAGCAGCACCTGTAGTCCGGGGCGCTGTCCCGGTAGCCCAGTCGTAGCCAGCTGTGCCAGCCGCCCGTGGGTCCGTTGCCCGTCCGCCGCTATTTGAGCCGCGGGGCCTGTTACCCCTGTAGTCCGGGCGCTGTCCGGTAGCCGCTGTGCCAGTCTGCCTCCTGTTGCCCGTGTGTCTGCAGCTTCAGCCGTCGCCTCTTGTCTCCTCTCCCCTCACTCTCCCTCCTCCTCCTCACTTGCCCGTTGTGACTACCACTAGCTTTGCTTATAATTGTAAACTCTAAACTATTTCTTCTTGAACTTGTGCTCAGAATGTGTGGTGACATTGTGATCCACCCTGAGCTTGTTTTGCTTTGCCTGCTCTGCTGATTACACCCCACTTTGGCTATGGGGGTGTGTCAGAATATTATCTTATTGTCCTAGCCTGTAGTGGGGTGCTCTATAGCGAGTACAACCCTTCTAGGGTTTGCTATTTGTATCCTCATTCTTGCTAGTTCAATCCTCTTTCTTCTTCTAATTTTGACATGGATTTCATCCGTTCTGGTACATATAACGCGTTAGAGTGTGTAATGTTATAATTTTATACTGAACAGTGTGTGTTCACGTCACACTCCTGTGTCAACAGCGAGAAAGAACCACGTCAAATTTGCTGTGACCACCCATTACGACCACTGTGAAATCAGAATTTCCCGGGCTTAATCGTAACGACTTCTAATTTCGCCGCACGCAAGTTATCGAGCACACTTGACCGCGTGCTGCCTCTCCGTGATTCGTCCCTTGCGTGCGCATTGATTTCACGCTTTCGAATGGGCCACTCGCCCATGGTGTCGTTTGTCGATTTTCGCAACACGTTGACTCGCGTTGGGCGGATGTTTCCTCCAACAATGCAAAGTCAGAATAGGCTGTACATGCTCGCGTGACGTTTACTATTCCTGCGCCGAATTTGTTTTCCTGAGCTGTAAGTGAACAACCCCCACCCCCCACCCCCCCTCCCCACCCCATCCCCTCCCCCACCCCATCCCGAAAAAACCACGCATTTACTTTTGCCCTTTTCGTAAGTACATTGGTAACGAGATGGGGCGATGGTGCTAACGTTTTAAACCGATTAGTGACCAGGTGAATATTTGCTGCCCAAAATATTGACGTAGTTGTCGACTTCGCTGACCAGTTGCACACCTACATGATACTTGGGTGGCAAAAGATGTACACAAGGAAATTGTGGGGCTGTTTCGCCGCACATGACATCGTCTCGCCAGCCACAAACGTGTTCTGTAGGTTCCAGCGTTACAATATTCAGCAAAAAAAAAAGCCCACTGTAATGCGTGCCATCACATTGCGTGCCACCCAGGAAAAGCTATTCACGTTGCCCAACTCTGGGATGTGGTGCATAAGGACCGCCAGCGCACCAGATTTGCTGTTGTTCATGAACGCGAACGCCAGCGCATCTGAAGGCACTACCCACTTCATCCCACGAGCAGCAACTCACATTCTCTGAAACCCCACCCCATCTCCTTCTCTCCCCCGTTTCCCTTCCTCGTTGGCAGGGGAAAGAGGCAACTGCTCTGTCCGCGTGTCTCAGTTTAGGAATTCAAAGTTGGAAATTTCAAACTTTGTTTTAACCTTGCTCGAGGCCCGACTTCATTCTCATTCGCTCATCCCGCGACCCGTGCCGAGCCTCCATGCGAGGCGACTTTGGTCCCACGTCTGGTAATGATCCGGTGACACCCAATCATGGTGTGTTTCGCGAACCCTCGTTTAGTAGTCCATTCGCCTACGTTTTAATCCGCTTTTTTGTCACATGGACGACATCATATAAATAGCTGTGTGTGCATCTTGCTGGCTATTCGCTGGAACTCGGTTAGTTTGTTTAATAACCCGTTTAGTCATGGCACGCGGTGATGCTCGAGACCTTGTCCCTGAATCTTTGCGCGGCCTGCAGACTAGAAAGCCCCCGGCACGGAAGAGCAAGGACAATCACAAGTACATTGGTGCCGCTGCTACCGCAGGTATTTGCACGCTGGTTTGTATTGCGTTGCTTTTTTTTTTTTTTCTTGCTTGCACCAATGAAGTCGAACACGACTAACCACCGTTCATTGTTTCTCGCAGATGAAAGCCACGATGAATCGTCCGACGAGCAAGCGCAGGGCCGCCCTCGCACCGGCCAACGGACCAAACATCCAAGGCGCAGCCTCGATGACGTCAACAAAGCTGACGTCGCTGGGAAAACCGTTCCTGCACTGGCAGCTGGAGTGAAGTCCGTGGCTGGCGGTGGTCCCCTCGATGATGCTGCAAGTGATCCCTTCCCTGCTGCTGCCGCTGCTGGTGGATCTTCCCCTGCTGTCGCTGCAGCCGGGTCTTCCCTTGCTGCCGCTGCTGCCGGATCTTCCCCTGCCGCAGCTGCTGCCGGACCTTCCCGTTCTGCTATTCGGGACGGTGGTTCCCCTCCTGCTGATGTGGCTCCCGATGCTGTTGTTCCCGCCGGGACACCTGCTGCTGTTGAAGGTATGTCTGCTATACCTTTCTCGAAGTGGTGTCTCAATAGTTGCCGGCAACAACCTGCTTTCAACCTCTTGAATTCATATCAAACGTTCCGCTTTGTAAAATTTCCCCCCACAACAGGAAACCCCAACCGCAGCCCAATGGAGTTGCTTATGACCCGGGCGACGGGGCGTGCGTATGCAACTGATGCCGCTCGCTTCGACGAGGAAGCGCGCGCCGAACCTGATGTGAATGAGGAGCTTCGAACTAAGGCAGAAGCTCAGAAGGCGATCGCCGGAGTTTATCAGAAAGAGAATGGTCGCCTCGCCGATGACCTGAAAAGCGCGCTGGTGCTTATAACGCACCTTGCTAAGAAGACCACGCAAGTGGACCAGTCGACTCTCGTCTGGAAGGTACGGGTTTGCATTTCATTGACCATCGTAACCCAGTTTCATTCGTCCTGACTCTCTGTCATCGTCTTGCGGAAGTACACGAAGGACGCCTGTGATGAATTCCTGTTCAAGAAAGCGTTTCTCAACCTCAATCCTGATTCTGCTGACATGCTAAATGCATTGATCAGTAAGCTTGTTAAGCGTTGTCAATTTTCCCTTCATGACGATTAGTGTACTAATCATCACAGTTTACGTCGTGTGCAGGGCATGCAGGCTACACCCCCGAATCGGCCGAAGGGATGCAGGTGGCAGCGATTGCCAAGTCGCAGGGCAAGCTGAAGGATGCTATGGAACGTTTTAACGATCGCATCGGGAAGATCTACCGCCTCTGCCGCGTTTACGCCTTGAGCCGAGATCCGTGTGTCTTCATGAGGGAGAAGCGAACCCTGAAGGGCGAGCTAACTTTCTCCGAGATTGATGACTTCGCGAAGGTGTGCGCGGACTTCGTGAAGAACCAATCCGACAGTAAGTTTCTCTTTGATTCCAAAATCCAGTTTTTCCAGTACTCCGTTGAGCCTTGCTTTTAGCTGATGCTTTCTCTTATGGCAGTGATGATGGGAATTTATTGGCATTTGTGGGAGGGATCACCCTTTTCTAGCCCAGCGTTTGTTAAGTGTGCGTCCCTTTGGGACCCGGAATTCGATGGCGCCCTTCCCATTGCGTTGTTTCCTGATCAGCTGCTGGTTATCCTTGCAGCGGTAAGTCAAGTACGGTGGAATTTGTCTTTGTGTTTAACGTTTCGCTTACTGTGGTTTTTGTTTCACTTGTTTCAGGTGCGTTTCAAGCTTCGTTATCCCCATGGCAAGGCCCAGTTTAAGCGATCAGGGGACCCGTCAGCCTTCTCCAGGCAGGCACGGGTGGTGCAGAGGTGGATCAACGAGGGGCCCGTTGAACGGGATGGCGACTGTGTCGGCATTGGCAGCATCTGCATCGTTGGATGGAAGGAGATCCCTGAAGCTGAGCTGGAAGCAGATGAGCTCGGGGATTTGACCCGAGATGACCTCACCTCCAGGGCTGCTTATCGCAGGCTTCACAACGCAAACGAGCCGCAGGTGGAGCTGTTCTAGATGTGGCGTTTTTTATTTATTGTAGGCGTAATTTCATCAATAGAATGTATTTGACTTTTTTTAATATCATTAATATTCTGCTGGTATAGAACCATAAACTCTGATCAATTAATAGATTTTAACAGCATTCTGTAAAAGGAGCGTAAATACGTATTATTCGCCTTACTATATGTAGATAACTTTTATATATTTTGCTACACGCCGCCCTACCATCTTTTATCAATATTTAATGTGTATCGTCATTTCCGCTAAGAGCACAGTGTATTTTTTCTCATTACGTGGACTTCCACGATATCTCAAGAGTACTGTACTCACTAAAACAATTTTCCCGACTGACATTTTATCGAGACTGTTTTGCTGACGTGACATCGAATCGATAGAAACGTCGCGCCCAATGAACACAACCCAAATGTCCGCAACTGTATCGTGCAAAACCACCCGAGCAGTTGTGCAGGCTCGGCAGCCAGTCATTCGCCCAACTGAAAACAACCCGCAGGCTAGATGCCACTAGCATAGAAAACCAATCGCCAAAACCAGGCGAATGCCTGGAGCCGAAACCCAATCGCCAGCTAGTGGTTTCCCAACCAATTGCGGGACCCCCAAAATTCCCGATGATGTCATAGGTGATGCGATCTTGGATCAAGCTGTTCTGGTTGGCGTTCATGAACAGGCTTGAGATTGCTGTGGATATCTCTTGGTCATGCTTATGATCAACGGTCTAGCAAAGCTTTGGTATACCCTGCTGTCATGCCGGATTTGTTCCATCCCAACTCTGGCACCTTCTGTATGATGCTCTGAAGGACGATAAACAGATAAATAATCAGACATGGCGACGTGCAAATCACAGCATGGCACTAAGGATTCTTTGTTTGAATAATAGGTCATGTCATGACTCATGTCCATGTACCTTACATCATGTGAGAAGGTAGTCACTGCCTTTAGCCCACTTCCCTGCTTTCCCTGACTCACCAGTAGCATTTTCTCCCTCCAACATCTCCAGACTGTGCTTGGCACTTTGCCCTGTAAATTCTTCCCCAAAGATTCACGGAATTTTGTGTGCACGCAGGTTGAGTTGGCGGCAAGGCTTGTGTGGGCTTACGAGCAATGCTCCTGGATTTCACCTCCGAGGCGAAATCTCTTGTGGGCACAAAATGTACACAGTAGCTTTTCTTGCGGAAAAGCTGCGGAAAACCTTCGGAGAAACACCCAGGGTGAAAGTTGCGAGAATGTCACCTGTATGGCGCAACAAAACAGCTATGGAAATGTCACTTTCACCCCTCAAATGTGCACACCCACTTGTGTCTCGCGTGTTAAAGAGCGTGACAGTGCGGTTTAGGGAGTTAAGGTTGGCAGCAATTTCGCACAGCTGACGAAATGTTACTTGTGTGACCGAAATTTCTCCGAGCTGAAATTGAAACGCCCAATCAACAAGCAGCGCGAATGTTACACGCCACTGTGTTTCCTGAATTTCGTGGTAACGTCGCCAACCAAAACTCTACTGATTCAGGAATCAGAACCACATCTTGTGGTTCTGAACCATTCGATGTGGGAAACAAACCTGAGCCCACCAATCAGCATGATTCCTCATCTCCACGTCAGAGCTCTGAACCTAGAACCTCTCGAATGTGCTCCCAACCAACCCCTTCTTCTACCTCCTCCTAGCTTTGTGTCTCACTTTCTGCTCTTGTTCTTCTCAAAACTTAACGTTTTTCTCTAGTTACTAGGCACGCTGCTCTTCTGTGTATCAATCTTTTCTGCCACGATCAGATCCGTTTTCCCTAAGTATTCTCGTTTTAACCTAAAGTCTTATTGCGTCGTTTTTTTTTTCCTCCTTGTGCCATTGTCCTGGTTGCAGTCCAAATTCAACTGGAGGTCGGGAGCCGTTTTATAACCGTACAACGGGTGTAAATGAGTCACTGAGACGGTCCTTTATCGGTACGTCGACACCGTGTTTCTCCTTTTTTTTTTTGTTGCCTAACTCATAACGTACCGTACTGTGCACGGAATGGAGGGCAACGCTGGGAGTGCGTTCTCTCTTGGTCGAATTATGTCGCTTTGTGTGCAGATCTGTATTTTCTTAACGTCTTGTGGTGCGCTCCTCATTTGCGCGACCTTGTATTAATGTCGATGTATTTCGTAAACATGTTGACTTATCAAACGGCACAAGCATTCGTATTCCACTATGGCAAACAGGTAAGTGGCCGCAGGTATGTCTACTACTACATTTGTTCTCGCCTGACTAACATCAGTTTTTGCAGGTACTACTCCCTGTCTTGGATTGTGTTTCTGATTTTACGTGTGTTTCAGAACTCCAGGCTCAAGTGGTTGAAAGGGCGTAAATGTTTTGATACTGTTGAAGTACCTGCAGTTAGATGATTTAGTTGTGCCAGATCATGCTGATTATGGTATTAGGGCGTTTTGTCAGGTCTATTGTACAAAAATGTACTTATAGTAACACAAATTTCTATATGTACATGCTGAACTCAACTGTCTCCACAAATTATAATGCGTGCGCATATATTACCCGAAAACTGATTGGTCCACGTGGCATTTGTCGCTGCACTATTCACCTTGACAGCTGGCAGGAAATATCTACACACGTGGCGTTCTGGCATCCACGTGGCAAAGGGGTGGCAAAAGGGACTTAAAGCCCAAGTCCTTCAGACAAATGTCACTTCAGATGTCACCTTTTAGTTGTGTCGTGTGGTTGCAATATGGCCATTTTTTTGTCGCTTTGTCGTCACTTTTCCGCAACTTCGAAAGTCACCCCGCCACAGAAGCCTTTGACCTAGACTTTTTTCTTGCGAAACCAAAGTTGCGGAAAAGCAACTTTGAAGTTGCTATTCCGCAACTTTTCGGGCCTCACACTTTCGCGATGGTCGACACACGCACGGTCGATCCATACGCGGTTGGCGAATCTTGTCTTCAACTCGTGTAGAGTTGGTAATGGCAAGGAGGTGGGTCGTGGTGAGTAAGAGGAGAGGCAATGATTGGGAGAGGCAACGGGGAGATGGAGGGGTCTGTCTACCGAGAGAACACGAGAACAGCAGGAGAGGATGGGGGAGGGGAGTGAGGGGAAGTTGCAACGATTATCGAAGGGAAGGTGCGCATGCCCCACATGCCCCATATACCCCACCTGCCACCCATGATGCCGCACATGCCCCACATGCCATACGTGCGCCACATCCCCCACTAGCGAGGCAGCCCAACTGGTGAGCGCCCACTCGCCCACCATCAACATCTGCGCGCACGCACTGCCTGCACTCACCTATGCTCGCGCGCACGTGCTTGCGTTCACCTCTGCTCGCACGTACGTGATTGCGCTCACCTCTGCCCGCGCTCATGTGCTTGCGCTCACCTCTGCTCGCGCGCACGTGCTTGCGTTCACATCTGCTCGCGTGCACGTGCTTGCGCTCAACTCTGCTCGCGCGCACGTGCTTGCGCTCTACTCTGCTCGCGCGCACGTGCTTGGCGCGCCGCAGCGCCGTGCCGATGATTTCCGCAGCTGTTGCAGCGCGCCGATGGCGTACTGCAGATTGTTAGTCGCTAAACGCTTCACGGGAGGCTGACGCGGCCTTGACGGGGCCTCAACGGGCCCTTCACTCGAGTGAAACAGATTCGGCCCTTCGCGGGGCTTTGACGGGAGTCTCGCGGCTGAAATTTCTATCACTGTTGCTTGCCTAAGCCTTCACAAAGGCTTCTCTGTAGGTTTGACGCGAATCTGACTGGAGTCTTACGATGTGTCACAAATTTCGACCAATCAGTGTGCAGCACAATTTGAAGCGAGAGAATTTCCAAAAAGTGTTCTCCAACAAACTGGTACAACAAATATATAGGTTCAAGCAAGGTACACAAGTGAGCTAGGTAACCAAACGTGTTCAACACGTTACGCCTTGCCTCGCTTCATCCCGCGTCGCACACACAACCTTTTCCACCTTCGTCGAACGCGCCTGAAGTCCGCATTTGGTTCCTTGTTGAACACGCCACGGTTGACCCACTCATTTTCCCTCGTCAACCAATTTCTCCCTGGTTCACTTCTCTTTCACCCGTCAATAATCTTCTTCACTCCTTTCGTGTTTCTCTTGCCGTAGCTCCCAAGCAATGTCGAGCTTCCTCTCTGGTTCCCAAGGCACTTTTCAACACGCCACTGTCAGTCCGTCGTAGTCGTCGGTCCGAATTATGAGCGCCGTCGTTAGTGTGGTTCCGCGAACCACTCCAACAACCTCCCCTGGTTCGTGAACCACACCTCCACTCCCCTGCTCCTCTCGAGCCCTCATGGAGTCTAGTTTGGCTTCACACTCCCCTGAAGCTCCTGCAACTTGCGCATCCCCACCTTCTCCTTGCAATACTCAAAGTTAGACCTAGGTACCTGCGGAGATTAACTCTACAACGGTAGTGAGTTAGACTACAGGGGTTGGCACGAACTACTAGAGGTGATCTTAGCTTTGTTTAGTTCCTTAGTGTTTGCATATTCACGGAAGGATTTGGCAAGAGTTTCCACTAGCAAAGTTGGAATTCCAGAATGATACAAGAAGCAATGACAACAATGACTACATCAGGCACCTAGCAACCCTGCAGCTAGCCTGGTCGAACGCCAACGCAGCTCGATCGACCGCCTCCCAGCATTGCGTAGAGGAGCTGCGCCAGCATTGCAGAAGGGCGACCTGCCAACAAAGCAGGCCGACGGCGTGCCCCGTAGAACACAGCAGTGCGCGCGCTCGCAGGTGTGCGCAGACGATTGGCCCGACTTGCCTCGTTGGTCATCCGTCGGCTGTTGTCTGCGCCTGATGAGCCACATCGACTTCGGGATACCAGCCCGAAGTCGCCTGCGCCATCGCGATCTCGACGACGTTCGCGTGCCTCCGCAGAACTCGTCGAGCAGGTTACCCGGTCGACCTGGTCGACCCCTGGTGCTCTGGTCGACTCCCAGGTGCCTCCCGTCGACCACTGGGTCCCTCTGGTCGACCACCGGGCGCTCTTGGTCGACCACACCTCCCGTCAAGCTACCCCTTGGTCGACGGACCCCTTCCGTCGACCAGAACTGCTCCGTCGACCTCCCGGTCGAACTGCAGTTCGACGGGATGCTCCGTTGTCCTCCCGGTCGAGCTGCAGCTCGACGGGACGCTCCGTTGACCTCCCGGTCGAGCTGCAGTTCGACGGGATGCTCCATAGACCTCCCGTCGAACTGTAGGTCGACGGACTGCTTCGTCGACCTCCCGGACGGCTCACCCGTCGCCCAGGCCAGTCAGGCGCAGCTGTCGAGCACCCTGGTCGACAGCAACACCACAGCGGTCCGCTGCAGCTCGACGTAACCTGTCGAGCAGCTATCCCACTGTGAGCGGTCGGCTGCTACTCCTGTACATCCGACCAAGTTGTCGGCGTTGCCCAAGCGAGGGCGGGGCCAACACTCCATTCCCGTTAACAGTACCACCTTGATCAAGAAATCTGCCACTTGCTCTTGAGTGGGAACGAACTCAAACTTGAAGTGCTGCTTCTCAAGGTGCTCCCGCACCCAGTGATACTTCACGTTCATGTGCTTGGTCCTCCCGTGCCAATTGTCGTTTCTATCCATGTCAATGGCTGACTTGCTGTCCGATTTCACCACAGTAGGTCCTTCAATGGTGATGTCGAACTCCTTCATCAGCCTCCTAAGCTACACTCCCTCTTGGCACGCAAAGAAGAGTGCCATGTACTCCGCTTCAGCAGTTGACAATGCTATGTCCGCCAATTTCTTCGCTTGCCACATGATGGCAGTGCCCCCAAGAAGGAACACATACCCATAGGCACCTTTCCCTGTTTTCTTGTCCGATGCATGTGAGGCATCCGCATACCCCACCAGCTGCAAAGTCTCCTCTCCTCCCTCAAAGAGAAGTCCCTCATCCTCATGCTGCACCAAATAACTAAGTGCTCGCTTCATCTCTCGCCATTTCCTTCCCTGCTGCACGTGCTGCCCCAAATAACTCGCCGCATACGCCATGTCGACCTTTGTGCATGCAACCGGATACATAACCGATCCCACCATCGACTGGTACATCTGCAGTGCCTTCTTTTCTCCTCCTCCCTGCTTCACATCCTCTTCCTGCTCGGTATCATTTGCTGCCATGCCGCTGAGTGGTGTCGTGATCTCCTTGATGAAACCCTGGCCAAACCTCTGCTGCACCCTGTTGCAATACTTCTTCTGGTACAAGAAGAGCTTCTTCTCTTCCACATTCCGCTCCAGGTTCATCCCCAAAAACAGCGCTGCCCTAGGAATCTGCTTCACCTGAAAAAACTCAGCAAGATGGTCACACACGCTCTCCACCTCAGTCGGTAAAGCTCCTGCTATGAGGATATAATCCACATAGAGTAACAAGTACACCTTCTCTCCTTCTCCCCTCCAATAGAACGCTCGGTCACACTCACTTTTATCGAACCCTCCTTTCAGCAACCTCTCATCCATCGCCTTATACCACTCTCTTGGACTCTGCTTCAGCATGTACAACGCCTTCTACAACTTACACTTCCTGTCCGTGCCATCCTCAAACCCGGTTGGCTGATTCATGTACAACTCTTCTCGCACTACCCCATGCAGAAATCCATTCTTGATGTCCAGCTGCACCATGAAATAACCCCTTGCTGCTACCACCTTTAGGAATGCTCTTGCGGTTGTAAGCTTGCTCACGGGGGCATAGGTCTCGTTGTAGTCAACCCCCTCGACCTGAGTATACCCTTTTGCCACTAACCTTGCCTTAAACCGCTCCAGCTGCCCCATATCCCCTGTCTTGATCTTAAAAATCCACTTCACACCCATTGCTGCCCTTCCTTCCGGCATAGGCACTAACTCCCAAGTGCCTCTCTCTGCTAGAGTGTCTAATTCCTCCTGTATTGCAGCCATCCACTGCTCCCTCTGTGGTCCTGCCAAGGCTTCTTCAACAGTCACGGGTTCCTTTGGCAGGCTATACTTCTCCAAACTCCCCTGTGATACTAGCGCCGTTGCAGTTGCAGCCAAGAGCAGATGGGTCCTCACATCCTTCCAAGGTGTCATAACCAGTGAAGCAAACTTAGCTGGTTTCTTCTTGACCCTCAGACCGCGCCCCAACTCCTCAGCCGGTGTCACGTCCTTACTCACTTCGTTTGTCGCTGCGTATATCTCGTCAAGCCCTCGTTCCTTTCCTATCACTATGGCTCCATCCTCCAGCAGCTCATTCATCTCCTTAGCAGCTTCACAAGTAGCGTCACTATCAATCAGCTTCCATGGGCTACTCCCATCCTCCTTTGCTGACCCATCACTGTTCTCCACATCCTCCACACTCTGAGTCTCCTCCTCGGCACACGTCTCTCCAAGCTCTCTTTCATGGCGCCCTTCTTCCTCCACATCTGCTACCGCCTCTACAACCGTTTTCTTCGCTGGCTCCGAAAATATAGGTTCCTTGGAAGGTTTATCCGCACCACCTCCTGTCTCCTCCTCATCACACCCTATCCCCTCGTTCTCCTTCTCCACAAGCAGCTTCTCCACCTTATCAAGCGCAGCTGCTGCTCCCGTTGCTATCTCCTGGTTTACCCCCTTCCACTGGAGATAATTGACATCTTCATAGAAGATGGCATCCCTGGTCACTGCTGTCTTCCCCTTCTCCACGTCTTTAATCACCCAGCCTTTGCTCACCGTGCACATCCCAAGGTTGATTCCCCACTTGCTCCTTGGTAGAAGCTTGTGATTCGGTCCTGCTGGCTCCCTATACTGTACCATGCAGCCCCACACTCTCGCAAACCCCATGTTCGGCTTCCTCCCATAGAATGCCTCATGCGGTGTCACATCTGCTGCAAGGCCTTTGGTAGGCAACCTGTTCTTCACCCAGCATGCCATCGCCAAGGCATCTCCCCAATACTTCAGTGGAAGACCGCTATCAGCTAGCATGGTCCTCACACTATCTAAGAGTGACCTGTTCACCCTTTCCGCAATGCTGTTGTGCTGTGGGGTGTATGGGACCGTCAGCTGCCTTAGTATTCCTTTCGTGCGCAAAAAACTGTTGAACTCCGTATTCACAAACTCCCCACCGTTGTCGGTCCTTAACACCTTCAGCTGCTTCCCACTCTGCCTTTCAGCTTCAGCCATCCAGTCCAAGAAACTGGAAAACACCTCTGTCTTGTCCTTGATTTCTGTCACCCACGTGTGCCTAGTCCCTAGGTCAGTGAAAGTGACGAAGTACCGGCTCCCGTGCCTTGAACTTTCCCTCAATGGCCCACACACATCAGCTGCCACTATCTCCATTGCACCGTAGGGCTCTTGAACCTGGTGTATGGGATACGGGATTTTTGAGATCTTGCCTTCCACACACTTGCCGCACCTCCCCTTACTCCCATCTCCTTCTTTCAGCTCCACACCGGCTGCCATGCCCTTCTTCACAAGCTCCTTAATCCGCTCCATCCCCGCATGCCCTAAACGCCTATGCAGGGTCTCTAGATCCACTTTTGCAGCTGCTGCCACCATTGCAACAGCTTCCACCTGCAGCTCCTCGACGGGCACTCCTTTCAGCTTCGCCTTCAACTCCTCCCTTGCCATCACTCCTTCCTTCGGTGGTGGCTGGTAGGTAGCCTTCTCAGCAGCCAAGACCTTCTCATTCAGTTTCATCTCATACATGTCAGAATATTATATTATTGTTCTAGCCTGTAGTGGGGTGCTCTATAGCGAGTACAACCCTTCTAGGGTTTGCTATTTGTATCCTCATTCTTGCTAGTTCAATCCTCTTTCTTTCTTCAAACTTTGTCATGCTATCAAAGCAGGTCGATCCCCTTGGATCGATCCTGTGGGTGGGTTACCACCTCGCTTCCGCTACTACTTTTTCCTCCCGCCGTGCGCCCCGAGGCGCGCGGCAGTTTTCTGCCCGCCGTGCGCCCCGAGGCGCGCGGCGGTTCTTTGCCCGCCGTGCGCCCCGAGGCGCGCGGCGGTTCTTTGCCCGCTGTGCGCCCCGAGGCGCGCGGCGGGCTTCTCCCCTACGTCGCGGCCCCGCCCCGACCGTCGCGGTCCCGCCCCTCGACGCGGCCCCGCTCTACGTCGCGGCCCCGCCCCGGCCCGTCGCCGCCCGTGCGCCTGCCCGGCTCGGCCCCGCCCTACCTTCGCGGCCCCGCCCTACGTCGCGGCCCCGCCGCCGACCTGTCGCGGCCCCGCCGCCGACCTGTCGCGGCCCCGCCCTGCGTTGCGGCCCCGCCCCGACCGTCGCGGCCCCGCCGCCCCACTTCGTGGCCCCGTCGCCGCACTTCGCGGCCCCGCCGCCCCACTTCGCGGCCCCGGCCCCGGCCCCGTGCCCCTACATGCGACTCTCTCAGGTCCGTGGTGGGCCCTTTTCTCCACACCCCCCCCTCCCCCCCCATTTCCCGTCGTCTGTCGCGGCTCCTTCGGGGGCCGCTGTGGGGTGGCGGGTATGGGGGTGGCCGGTGTTCCTTCCTCCCTTTGCTCCTCCTCCTCCTTCGTCTCCCACTGCTGCAGCTGTCGCTGAGGGGGGTGGATGTGTAGGAGACTGGGTTTAGGGTTTAAGGGGGGTGTGTGGGAGTAGAGCTAGCGGTGTAGCAGTGGGTGTGTATCAGGGGGGTGGGACTGTGTGCGGGAGGATGAGCGGAGGTTGCCAGTTTGTCGTCAGCAGCACCTATAGTCCGGGGCGCTGTCCCGGTAGCCCAGTGAGCTAGACTTCTACGCCAGCCGCCTGTGGGTCCGTTGCCCGTCCGCCGCTATTTGAGCCGCGGGGCCTGTTACTCCTGTAGTCCGGGCGCTGTCCGGTAGCCGCTGTGCCAGTCTGCCTCCTGCTGTCCGTGTGTCTGCAGCTTCAGCCGTCGCCTCCTATCTCCTCTCCCCTCACTCTCCCTCCTCCTCCTCACTTGCCCGTTGTGACTACCACTAGCTTTGCTTATAATTGTGAACTCAAAACTATTTCTTCTTGAACTTGCGCTCAGAATGTGTGGTGACATTGTGATCCACCCTGAGCTTGTATTGCTTTGCCTGCTCTGCTGATTACACCCCACTTTGGCTATGGGGGTGTGTCAGAATATTATCTTATTGTTCTAGCCTGTAGTGGGGTGCTCTATAGCGAGTACAACCCTTCTAGGGTTTGCTATTTGTATCCTCATTCTTGCTAGTTCAATCCTCTTTCTTTCTTCAAACTTTGTCAATACAATCCATCATTCCTCATTCCCTTAGCAATCACATTCCATGCATGGTCAAACACCCACATCTTCCCTTTGTCACTGAAAGTCTTGCACCCGGTGCTGTCCAACTGTGATTGGCTGATCAAGTTCAAGGCCAATCCATCCACATACAGCACATTTTCCAGCTTCAATTCCCCATACTGTCCTTGCAGCACCAATTCCCCCTCACCCTTCACAGGTAGCTTCCCTTCATTCCCCAAAATCACATACGGCACACTTGACTCCCTCATGCCAGTCAGCCACTCACAATGATTCGTCATGTGCTGAGTGCAACCGCTGTCCATGAACCACGCCACCTCCTTTTGCCAGCATGCACACCCCTGATGCGCGCGCCACATTCGCCTTATGTGCGCCACCCAGAGTGGCATCTTCTTTGTCATTCTTTGCTGCTGTTGGTGCTGCTGCTGCATTTGCTTTCGGAGGTGCTGATCCTTGCTGCTGCGGTCCCCTATAGCTCCGGCTGTTGGGGTTGGAGTAGCAGTCAATCGCCCTATGCCCAATCTTCTTGCAATGATGACACGCTCCGTTGAACTTCCCTTTCGGTCCCCTTCCATTTCCCGCACCATTCTGCTGCGCTCCACTCCACCCCGCACCGTTCCCCTTGTAGTTTCTGCTCCTCGGGTTCTCCGCGCACTCAAACGCTTTGTGTCCCGTCTTTCCACACTAGTAACAAGTTCCCGCGCCCCTTCCAGCGGCTGTCGCGTTCACCAATGCAGGCTTCTCCTCCACAAAGCCCCTTGTAAACTTCTCCCGTCGCTTTTGATGATCTCTTGCTCGCTCCAATACCTGAAGCATGGCAATAAGCTTCGTCATATTCTCCGGTGGGTGGCAGATCAACGCCGGCCGCTCACCCGCCCAATCCTCCGGAAGTCCGTTGACGATGTGCCCTATCATCGCCCGCTCGGTTTCCGGCTCGCCCATCGCAGTTAAGTCGTCGTTGTAGCTCCTCGCCATGTTGACATAGTCAATAATCTTCTGGTTCGGCTCCATAGTCATCAACAACAACTTCTTCCTCACGTCGGCGATGTTCGCGTCCATGTGCCCAAGGTATGTAGACTCCATGTACGCCCATGCCGCCTGTGCAGAGTTCTCAAGCTCTGCAAACCCATCAAGACCCACTGCAATCCCGTCAGCAACAGAATGACACAACTGAAAAAATGCTAGCTCACTCCGTTTTTTGAATTCCAAAAGTTCTTCTTCTGATTTCGCCGCACGCTCGGCTTCGTTGCCTTTCCTGTCGGGTCGGTAGTACTTCCACAAGCCGACCTCTTTCGCTCTCCTTATAAACTTCAATCACCACGTGCTGTAGTGCTCGCCGTGGAACCGCTGGGCTTCACTCAGGCTCATGGTGGGCTTGGTCACCACCCCTCCTTGCGCTAGCATTTCTAGAAGAGCCTTGACTTGGGGATCTCCACTGCTCACAGAGGAGCCCGAGCTAACCTCCGATTGTACGCCGACCATCTCGAAGGTTTTGCTTGCTCTTAAGAATGCTTAACGCCTCTTTAACCAGCTTTGATACCAGCTGTTAGTCGCTAAACGCTTCACGGGAGGTTGACGCGGCCTTGACGGGGCCTCAACGGGCCCTTCACTCGAGTGAAACAGATTCGGCCCTTTGCGGGGCTTTGACGGGAGTCTCGCGGCTGAAATTTCTATCACTGTTGCTTGCCTAAGCCTTCACAAAGGCTTCTCTATAGGTTTGACGCGAATCTGACTGGAGTCTTACGATGTGTCACAAATTTCGACCAATCAGTGTGCAACACAATTTGAAGCAAGAGAATTTCCAAAAAGTGTTCTCCAACAAACTGGTACAACAAATATATAGGTTCAAACAAGGTACACAAGTGAGCTAGGTAACCAAACGTGTTCAACACGTTACGCCTTGCCTCGCTTCATCCCGCGTCGCACACACAACCTTTTCCACCTTCGTCGAACGCGCCTGAAGTCCGCATTTGGTTCCTTGTTGAACACGCCACGGTTGACCCACTCATTTTCCCTCGTCAACCAATTTCTCCCTGGTTCACTTCTCTTTCACCCGTCAATAATCTTCTTCACTCCTTTCGTGTTTCTCTTGTCGTAGCTCCCAAGCAATGTCAAGCTTCCTCTCTGGTTCCCAAGGCACTTTTCAACACGCCACTGTCAGTCCGTCGTAGTCGTCGGTCCGAATTATGAGCGCCGTCATTAGTGTGGTTCCGCGAATCACTCCAACACAGATTTCTTCGGGGAGGCGGGGAAGCGGGGCCGGCGGAAGAGGCGGAGGCGTCGGCGGAGGATAAGGAGGAGGGTAAGGGGAAAGGTGGGGGGGGGGGGGGGGAGAAGACGCGGACGAGCGAGCTGTTGCGTGCGAAGTGGTGGCACCTTTGGCGGCGGCGATTGCGGCGGGTTCAACTGTCATCATCCCCCGGCGGGCGGGACGAAGGAGAGGCAGGAAATGAAGACGGAAGGGATATGACGGCGAGAGCAGGAGAGAGTTGATGCGTGCCCCGACGGCGGCATGCCAGCGGCGACAGGCATACAATCGTGACGTGCACGGCGGTTTAGTGGACCGCTCGTCGCCGCGCGAGATCGCTTATGCGACACTCGACGACGGTGGCGATGGGGACGACTCCGACGAGGTCGAGACGAGCGGCTAGTCGCCCGTCGCTGAAGTGTCATTGGGGACAGGTGCAAGCGAGTGATAGGCGCTTCGAGAGCGAGTAATTCTAAAGCGAGCACTTCTAGGGTTTTGACTCCTAATCTGGTTCCACAGAAGCAGCGATAGCATCCTCTCAACGTGCCGGCATGTGAGCCGCACTGCACCGCGATTGGCTGGGAAATGGGAGCTCGGGTCGGGTGGTGCTGAGACCAGGGAATGTGCACGTGGGTGCCGAAGATTGAGCCGGGGTTAGATAAGGGAACTTGGACCATCCAGGGTTTTTTGGGTTGCGTAGCAACCCTTTATATTTGGTTTGTGTAAGGAAATTCCCTTTTCCTTACTTCGCGTCCCTGCACAACGCGTACACCACTGTAGCACCTCAGTCAGCACCGTTACCACTCGCGACCATCGCATCATTCATCATCCCGCCATTTTCGCACATCGCATCCCGACCTCACGGCTCGGCTGGTAACCCGCGCTCCGGGCCTACGCTTCAACACTTTCCCAACCTCAGCCCCAGGCTCGTCGCGCGACCATTACCGTTACCACTGTAGTTTTGCTATATATTGTTCGCTCATGCCTTCGCTCATTGTACTCTTGCTTCGATAGAGCAATTCTCGTTCGTTCACTCAATTGCACACGTAACACTTGGTATTCAGAGCCTACGATCTCATCTCGGACCGCATCCACACCTTTGCTTCCCACTATCTCAATTTTTGGGGGGGGGTAGACGTCCCTCAGCGATACAGCACCGCCGCTCGTAGTGCTCTCTCGCAAGCACGCACGGCCACGACCGAGGCTCTCGCTGAGCTTGCCCGACACCCCCGCCATGGCCGATTTCAAGCTCGCCACGATGACGCAGGAGCAACTCGATCGTCTCGTGCGTCAATTGGAGGACTCGGCGCTCAAAATCGCGACTCTCACGGCGGAACGTGACTCCGCCCGTCAACAGTCAACGGTGAACATACCGACGCCATCACACGCACCAACCAATGCATCTGCACATTCGGATGAGCCAATTGTCATCTCGTCCGGCACACCAACACAACACGACAGCACGGGACAACGCTCAGGCGCAGCCAGTGAAGGCGCCGCTCAGCCGATGCCCGGCATGGGAGGGAACAGGAGCGCGTCAAGCCCACGGGAACCCCGAGAAGCCCGTCGGCACGTGGAGTTTGCGGCGACAAGTGGCGAAAACGCCATAATGGCCCCAATGCCGCTCAAGCCGCAACGCCCGCCCTGCTTTGACCCAAGCCAACGCGGCGGTCTGACAGTTCAATCGTGGGTCTTCACGATGAACGTTTTTTCGACGCCAATTACGTCGAGTCGGACGCCGCGAAGATCCGGTATGCGGTTTCACTGCTAAGGGGCCCGCCATGGACTGGTGGCAAGTCATCGTGACCTCGCCACGTGCCTACAAGCCACCGTCGCACGAGGAAGGGCCCTCGGGTCCAGCTGTCACTTGGAGTTCGTTCTGCGAGACCGCCCAATACAGCACGTGGGATGCGTGGTGCGCAGCGCTTCGGGCGCGCTTTGAGCCGATCGCGGCTTCGATTTCGGCGCGTCAGAAACTGTGCACTTGGCGCCAGCTCGGGTCAGTTCAAGACTATACCAGCGGTTTTCTCGCACTTTGCGAACAGGTCGGCTACATGCACGAGGCGGAGCGGGTGGACCGTTACGTTGGAGGGCTGAAGCCGGACATCTCGCATGAGATAATGCTGCGCGGACTCTCTAACTTCAACGAGATTCTCGCGCTCGCCGAGAAGATCGACATTCTACGCCGACCGAGACCGGGGTCCTATTACGGACATCGTCCTCGGGGACCGACCGAGCACGCCACTGTACACGCCGTCGGAACGAATGCAGCTGCCGCACCGTTTAAGGGGCGCTGCTTTACTTGCAACAGGCCGGGCCATCGCAAGAGCGAATGTCCAAAGGAGCTGAGGCGCCGAGGAGCAGAGCAGGGGAGGGAGTCTCAGAGGCAGGGAAACGCCAGCAGTCAGTAGAAGTTGGGCCAACTACTGACGAGACTGCCTGCTCGCCCAACCACACCGACTCTCACCGAGTCACAGTACCGATTCACGCCATCGATCGGGCTCGGATGAATAAGGAGGGTACAGCGACGGATTGCCCGGTACTGATCTACGGGAAAATACAGGGAGCAGCAGTGAAGATATTTATTGACGGAGGAGCAAGTCATAGCTTAGTTAATAGTGCAACCGCATGGAAATTACAGTTAACACTTAACCGATGCTTTCCTGAGATAGATGCACGCTTAGTCGACGGCACGCCCCTGGCCATACGGGAAGAGGTGGAGCGAGTAAAAGTCCGCTGCGGGGGGAACTTCGGGTTTACACAGGAAATGCTCGCAACGACACTGGATGGGCACGACATTTTATTGGGACGTGATTGGCTGCGACGGTACAACCCACGAATTGACTGGACGACGGGAAGCTGCACAGTGCGAAGTAGTGGTAACTGGGTCGTTCTACCTCGCTGGCAGCCACCCGAATCTTTGACGGTCCAGGTCAACGCCATCACGATGAAACGGGCTGTCGCTGCTGGAGCTAACGTGTACGCAGTAGATATCGCGCTAGTAGAAAAAGAGGAGCAGCCGAGTGATTTACAGAAACTGTTGGCAGCCGTACCGTCCGAACTACAGGCACTACTGAAACGGTTCCCGGGGATTTTTCTGGATGATTTACCACAAGGACTGCCACCTCAGCGGGCGCACGACCATAGGATCGAGTTAGAACCGGGGGCACAGCCAACTGTACAACGCCAATTTTGACTGACACAGCCCGAGCTCGACGAGCTAAGGAAGCAGTTAGATTACCTGTAAGAAAAGCAGTTTATCCGACCAAGTTCGTCACCGTTCGCCGCACCGATACTGTTCACACTGAAAAAAGACGGAGGGTTTCGCATGTACATCGACTACCGAGCGCTTAACAGGGTAACAGTCAAATCGCGATACCCCATCCCCCGCGTCGACGAACTGATCGACCAGTTGCGAACTGCACGAGTCTTTTCGAAAATAGATTTACGAGGAGGTTACCATTAGATTCGGGTCGAACCATCGGACTGCGCCAAGACAGCATTTAGGACTAGGTACGGGTCATTCGAGTATACAGTAATGCCTTTCGGGCTGACCAACGCGCCTGCAACATTTCAGATGACCATGAACGAGGCGTTTAGGCCACTTTTAGATAAATGCGTGATAGTTTACCTCGACGATATCCTCGTGTACAGTCGGGACAAGCAGCAGCACTTAGTAGATCTCGAAGCAGTTTTTACGGTTTTAGAGGAACATCGGTTACTCACCAAGGGCTCCAAGTGTGAGTTTTTTCAGGACAGGCTCGAGTTTTTAGGTCACGTTATTTCGGAGGCTGGGGTTGAAATCGACCCTAAGAAGCTGGATACCGTAAAAGCGTGGCACCCACCGACGAACATAACGGAACTGCAGAGTTTTCTAGGATTTGTTAATTACGTTCGACGGTTCGTCTCGGACATGGCACGTTTAAGAGCCCCGCTAACTGATTTACTGCGAAAGGGGGTCCCTTTTACGTGGGGGGAGAAAGAGCATGCTACCTTCTCTGCCCTGAAAAATGTTCTCTGTTCACCACCCGTTCTACGCATCGCTGACCCACACCGCCCCTTCGAAGTGGTTACAGACGCGAATGACCTCGCCATCGGAGCCGTACTGTTACAGGATTTTGGCAACGGCCTCCAACCCATCGCCTACGAATGACGCAAGCTTCATCCACCTGAGCGAAATTACCTGATACAATACCGCGAAATGCTCGCGATCGTGCATGCATTCAAAGTGTGGCGCTGCTACTTGACCGGCGCAGACGTGACAGTACGGATAGACCATCGATCTCTACAGTAACTTTGCGCACAGCCCCACCTCGCCGGTGCGGAGAACGTAAGTGCAGGGACCAAAACCCCCACCTCGCTGACGCGCAGTGTACCACTCACGAAGCTGCTTAGGGGACAGGGTCACACCACTCCGCTGCTGCTGGTGCAGACCACCACCTGAGCCAATCCTCTGCGTAGAGTCGCGGCCCACTCCACCACCGTCGCCGCCGCCGCCGCCTCCTCCACCTCCGCCTCCTCCGCCACCTCCGCCGCCTCCGCTCCCTCCGCCACCTTCACCGCCTCCGCCTCCTCCACTGCTGCCACCCCCGGCACCACTCCCACCACCACCCCCACTACCTCCACTACCTCCACCACCACCTCCACAGGCCCCTCCAGCCCCTCCAGCGCCCTTGCCCCCTTTGCCCTTGCCGGTGCGGCATCTCCCGCTCGGGGCAGACGCAGTGCCGACCGACTCGAAACCAACGAGGTCGGCCGCAGCAGCAGAGGCAACAGAGGGCAAGAGGGGGGAGGGAGAACACCCCTCAAAGACGGGGGTGCGAGGGTCACCACGAGAGGCTCCTTCAGCGACTATTCTCTTCTATGCCGCTAGGAGGGCCTTCTCGAGGAGGTCAACGGTGAGAGTGGTGGGGCAAACTGAGAGGAAGTGGTCCTTGACTACGCGGAGAGAGTCAGGGAGCCGGGTGACTATGTAGTAGAGGGTGATGTACATGGGGGGGGGGGTTCTTGGCGCAGAAATCAGCAGGAAGCGCAGCGCGATAGCGAGTGTCACTAGTGCGGAGGTGCGTAATGAGGTCAGCGACTGTGGGAAAGGCAGCAAGGTCAGGGAAGAGGTACGGTAGCATGAGGCGGCTCAATGCAGTAGTGGCAGGGGAAGAGTAGCGTGCAACTACAGCGTCGTACAAGGCTTGAGCACTCTTGTACTGGCTTAAGTGTGCACGCTCAGTGGTCGGTAAGTGGCGGCGCACAGCAAGTCGAGCAGCAGCATCACGCGTGGCCCACTACGAGCGAACAATGGCGTCAGCATCAGCAGCAGGGGCTGGAGAGGCACCAGAAGTGAGGTCAAACATGGAGAGACCGTCTGCCCTATCACACTGTAGGAAAAGCTGCAGATCATCTACCCAGAACTCAAAGTCAACTGCCCGACCCTCAGCGTCAAAGGTGAGAACACTAGGGGAGGCCATTACAGAAGTAGACAGGCAGTGAGTACTCTGGGGCAGGGCAGTGTAGAGGCAGAGACGCTGCTCTTACCAGGCAAGTGGGGCGGTCGGGCGTCTCAGCAGCTCGGCGGCTCGGCTGCTGGGCGGCTTGGCGGTCGGGCGGCTCGGCTGCTCAGCGGCTCGACTGCTGGGCGGCTCGGCGGTCGGGCGGCTCGGCTGCAGGGCGGCTCGGTGGCCGGGCGGCTCGGCTGCTCGGCGGCTCGGCTATTGGGCGGCTCGGCTGTCGAGCGGCTCGGCTGCTCGCTGACTGGGCTGCTCGGCGGCTCGAGCGCTGGGCGGCTGAGCGGCAACGGGGCCGTGGAAGGGCGGCGACGGACCCGCTGAAAGGGCGGCAACGGGCCGCTGAAAGGGCGGCGACGGGCCGCTAGAAGGGAGGGCGGCAACGGGGCCGCTGAAAGGGCGACGACGGGGCCACGGAAGGGTGGCGTCGGGGCCGCGAAAGGGCGGGCAACGGGGCCGCTGTAAGGGCGGGCGGCGAGGCCGTGGAAGGGCGGCGACGGGGCCGCTGAAAGGGCGGGCGGCGACGGGGCCGCTGAAAGGGCGGCGACGGGGCCACTGGAGGGCGGCGACGGGGCCGCGGAAGGGCGGTGTCGGGGCCGCGGAAGGGCGAGCGACGGGGCCACTGTGAGGGCGGGCGGCGAAGCCGTGGAAGGGCGGCGACGGGGCCGTGGAAGGGCGGCAACGGGGCCGCTGAAAGGGCGGCGACGGGGCCGCTCAAAGGGTGGCGACTGGGCTGCAGGAAGGGGGGGCGACGGGGCCGCGTAAAGGGCGGTGCTACGGGGCCAGAAGGGCGGCGCGACGGGCCCGTAAGGGCGGCTTGACGGGGTCGTTAGGTGCCGTAAAAGAGGCCGATAGAGGCCGCTAGAGGGGGAACGACACGGGGCGCGACTCAGGCAGGGGCCAAGCGCGCTACGGGCAGGAAAAAAAAGTCAATGGGCCCTAGGAACAGTTCCCACGAGGGAACCAGCTCTATAGCATGTGAAGATGAGAACGAGAGAATGATTGAACTATGAAAGAGTTGGGTACAAGTACTAACCCTAATTGGGTTGTACCCCTTATGGGCTACCCAACTACAGCCTACACAAATGTATAAGCTATAATGTTCAGACACGTGTGTCTCTTCTGCAGCTCCGACTTCACGTGGGCGAGAGCCTCAGTGTCAGCAGTGGCTAAGACCAAGTCGTCAACGTACACGAGGATGTAGAACCGCGACAGCGAAGTCGGTGCGCAGTAGAAGGCGCGAACCCAAGAGCCGCAACTGTAGTCCTCAGTGTATCATGCCACTCACGTGGCGCCTGGCGGAGACCGTAGACCGGCCGCTGGAGGCTCCACTAGGTACCATGAGGAAACGACCCAGTGAAGCCAGGCGAGCGGCGCAGCCAGATCTCCTCGTGCAGGCTGCCTTGCAAGAAAGCTGTGCTGAAGTCAAGAGAGTGAAGCTCGTAGTCACGCTGAACGGCAACGTGCAGCAGCACTCAAAGAGTGGTCATCTTTGGGGTGGGGGAGAAGGTCTAGAAGAAGTCTACTCCCTCTTGCTGACTGAAGCCTCGAGCAACGTAACGAGCCTTGAAGACCGGCAGAGAAACCTGGCAGCCGCTTCACCCTGAAAATCCACATGCCACTGACGATGTTCGCCCCAGGAGGGGGAGCCTCGTCGACGTAAGTGCCAATGGACTTCCAGGATGCCATCTCTGCGTCCATGGCTGTCTGCCACTGAAAGGAGTACTCACCCGTGATAGCCTCAGCGTAAGAGCGCGGGGTCGGGATGTGTGGTGCATCCAAGTCTCCCTTAGGTGCAATCAGCATGGACACGAGATGAGGCACAACAGCGGCAAAGCACTCAAACTCCTCCTACCTGTCCTCAAGGACGCCCGTGCCCAGAGCACACTCACCCCCCGACGGGCGGAGGACAGACAGACTCAGACTCAGCAACAAGACTCGCAGCGGAGTCTAGACGACATTGAGCAGCAAAGTCAACAATCTCAGCAACTAAGGCAGACGCAGCAGATGACTCAAAGAAAGGGTCAGAAACAGTAGTGGCCAGGAGACGCGTGACAGTAGGACTAGCAGCACGAATAGAGTCAGACTCCGGGTCAGCAAGGGCAGGAAGGGAGGACGCAGGAGGAGAAGGCAGAGGGACATGCTGTGGATCAGTGGAAGGATGAAGCGTCATCTGGTGAGTGCCTGGGATAGCAGGAGGACGCTGACGCGGGACACAACGACCAGTGCGAGCAGCACGAACAGGTGAGGCAGAACGAGACTCGGGCAACAGAGGACGAGACTCAGGAGCTCGACGCTCCGTAAGACCTCGTATCGGACCAGTGTAGGGAGAAGGACCAGGGAGTGGCGAGGCATGCTGTAACAGCGACTGCGACTGGACAGGCGGAGGACACTCTAAGGAGGGAGCAGGACAAAGAGGAGGCGGATGACCAAAAACCTACTGAAGGAGCGGCACAAAGTACGGCAATGGCCGTGGAGTGCCCCGAGAACCACCAGAGACAGCACCAGAACCCTCAGCAGAAGCTCCAACTCCTACAGCACCACCAGCAGCTCCAGTACTGCCAGCTCCAGTACCCCCAGTAGCACCAGCTCCAGCCACACCGTTGGCTCCAGAACCTGCAGGAGGACGAGCGTCCGCACCTCGAGCTCCAGCCCCTGCAGCACCACCAGCCCCAGTACCAGTAGCACCTCCAGCAGCTCCAGTAGCACCTCCAGTCCTAGCAGCTCCAGTACCGCCACTACGAGCACCTCCAGGACTAGTGGCTCTAGCACCTCCAGCACCAACCCCAGGGTCAGCAGCTACACCAACTCGAGTAGGCCCAGCGTCCTCAGCTCCAGCTCCAGCAGCACCTCCAGCTCCCACAACACCACGGCGGCGGCAACAGTACCGAGAGTACCACTCACGCAGCTGCTGGGAAGAGAGAGCGCCCCCATGTGCAGCACCCCTAGGCTCAGGACCTCCACGCTCAGCACCCCCAGGCACAGCACCCCCAGGCTCAGTACCCGCAATCTCCGCACCCCCAGGCTCAACACCCCCAGTCTCCGCTCCCCCAGGCTCAGCACCCCCAGTCTCCGCACCCCCAGGCTCAGCACCCCTAGTCTCAGTACCCCAAGACCCAGCACCACCAGGCTCAGCACACTTAGTACCTCGCGCAGGCTCAGAGTCGAAGCTACCTCGACAGGCTCGACCGGGTCTACCTAGGAAACACTTGAGGGAGCAGGACCCTAGGGAGGCAAGGGGGTCTACCGAAACAGCACCTGGCGTGAGGAAGAGCGACGGAGGGGGAGCGGGGCAGTGCGGTAGGGGAAGAGACGGTAAAAGGGGACCGAGTTGTCAAACGTGACGTCTTGAGAAGGGAAGACACGGCGCGAGGTGGGGTGGTAAAGCTGCCAGCCAGGCGCGTCAGAGACAAAGCCCAGGAAGACACAAGGAACGGCGTGGGAGGAGAGCTTGTCCGCGGACGTATCGCGGACAAAGGCACGAGATCCCTAGACACGGAACACAGACGCATCGCGAACCTCTCCCGTCCAACGCAGTGTCGGCGAGGTCTCCGGAACGGAGACACGGGCCCAGAGGTTGAGCTGATGTGCGGCGTACCAGGTCGCAAACGGCCACAGAAAATGGGGGACAGCCGCATGGACCAAGGAGGTACGAGCAACCTCCATGACCAAGCCAATGCGGCGCTCAACAACCCCATTCTGCTGAGGAGAGGCCAAAAGCGTGAACGTCTGCTCAATGCCCTCCCCTTGACAGAACGCCTCCAAGAGGCCGGAGGAAAACTCACCACCCCTGTCAGAGTGGAGTCACAGGACGGGAAGGTCCGTGCGAAAGCGCGTCTCCAGCTGGAGACGGGTAGCGCGGATCAAAGGGATCAAGACAGCAGGGACCTCTCCCTCGGTGCGCAAGGGGAAGACCGTGGTGTAACGCGTGTAGTCGTCAACTACCAGCAGGAAGTAGCGCTCTCCGCCCTCTCCACGGACGCGGGCTGGGCCCCACACGTCCATGTGAAGGGTCTGCAGAGGAGCCTCCGTCAGGGGGAACTCAGAGGAGTGAGGGGTGGCACGCTGCCGCCCCTCGATAGAGGGAAGGCAGGGAGGGGCAGGGGACGGTGGCAGGGGAGGCAGTGACCTGGGGAGAACAGAGACAAGGAAACGAGAGTGCATGCCACGAAGGCGCTGCATCGAAGGGTTACCAAGGTGGTGGTGCCAGAGGACCGTCCGGTGCGACAGGGTGCGACACAAGCAGGGGGCGGACAACTGACCTGACGCAGACGCAGACGCAACTACCTGAGGGGACTTAGTGGTCAGTGTGTACATGTGAGGATCTAGGATTGAGCTCAGAAAAGAGAATGAGATTTGAGTCGAATTGAATTATCACCTGGGTACAACATGAGGCTATATATATGCTCGACACAAGGCCCCGTAACCAGGTGTTACGAGAAGGTTCCGCGGGCCGCGTAGCGTCCCGAACAGACCCTTACCGAATTCGGTAGAAGGCAATTCGGTGGCAACCGAAAATGCCAGAATTCGGTGCACGTAACCAAACTCGGTGCTATAACTATAATAAAATATAGGAAAGCACCTAGCCTAGGAAATCAAGCAATTCATGCATGCATATGATTATCCTGTGCTAGAAATAGCATAATAAAGTAAAGGCAAGCAAGCATAGCTGGCATAAGTCGTCGTACTCTCACACGTCCCTCCCTCAAAGCTGGGTGGCGTGAGATACACCCTGCTTGACAAGATAGTCCTTGAGAGCACGGCGTGCGTTGCCCATATCAGCTTCTGCAACCCAACTGTCCTCAGTGGGGTCGTATCCCTTCCAGCGTATCAGGAACTCGAGGGTCTTGCCGCCGCGGTGCCGATGAGTGAGAACGCGCTCCACTTCGTACTCTGGTTCATCCTGTACGAGAAACCGGTGGTGGTGGCGGTAGCTGCCGTCCCTGGAACTGTTGGTTGGGGTC